TCAAGCACATGACCGAATACCGCGACCTGGTGATGGCCGCGGTGAGCACGTTGTACGCTATCGGCTACGAGCACGCCAACGACTTGTGGATGTTGGCCGCCTACTTGGACGGGTTAGAAAGTAACGACAGCAAGACGATGACTCCGGTGGCCGTCGGACAAGTACACGACGCGGTCACTGAGAAGCTGAACGGCGCCATAAATCTGTACAATTGTCCCGACAATACCTCGTATTCGGGGAAGACTTCATACGTTTCCAAAGGAAGTGCCAAAGTGCGACAACAGTTGGTGGACCAGGTCAAAAGGTCACTCGTTTCCAATTACGAATCTTTGAAAGCCACGATTGACAACAATAAAAAAGCGGTATGGCTTGTGGCCGCTGCGACCGCCGACGAGTACCAGATCGCCAATACGTTGTACTTGAACGACGCGACGTCCAACCGGCAGTTGGTAGAAGGACTCCGGTTGTTTATGGCCGCGGTGGACGTGGACGTGGACGGCGGTCGGTTGTACGACGTGTTATCTACGTTGAGCCAAAACGCCCGGGACTTGAGCTCTTTGAAACGTGGTCTGACCTCCGTGAAAATGTACTTGACCGCTTTCCTGGACTTTTTGAAAATTGTCGTGTTGCGGCTTACGCGAAAATCGTTGGAAGGTTTGGAAACGCAAAGGTCGCCGTCGTCGCTGCTGCGAAAAACCATGGATAAAAAAACCTACATGGGTGGTTTGAACATGAAACCGGTAGACGGTCGCCATTCGACGGAACTGGAGGACGGCTATTTGACGGAACTGGCGGGCGTCTTGTCCGGGTTCACGGTGTTCTTCCCGGTTCGCGAACAAATCGTCCACGAGGCCTACCGAATAATTGAAGAGCGACGCGGCCCGTTTGAAGGCCTGGCGAAAAAAATCAAAACACAAGAAGAGGCCCTACTAAAAAAGTACACGGTTTTCGACCGCAGTCGTCGATTGTTGCACTCGGAATCCTCTTCGATTAATGACAAATGGTTCAAACAGGTGAAAACGTTTGCCAGACAACATACAATTTCTCCGGGCCCGTCCACCGTCCCGTCGAGTCCGGTTAGTGCCATAATGTGGACGGCTAGAGTTTTCAATGAATACTTCCAGAATCATCAGCTACTCAAAACCGTCGACTTTCACGCGGTCCATTTAATAGTGTCGTCATATGTTCATCAACAATAACAAAAATTGGCCTCTGGCCCTTCGCTCGTGGCCTACTGCACCAGTTAGCGTAGTAACTCGACAACGAAAATGTTTAAAATTTAATTTTGTGTTTTCCTAATAAATGTACTAAAAATCAAATGAAACTCTGTAAATTAAAATTTGTATTGTTGGATTGAGAATGTTCAAGATATTATTTTCAAGAAGAAAAAGAGATTATAAGAAGAGTGGTTAGAATACATGTTGAAAAAAGTGACCAGATATGATTAATAAGACAAGGTATGTATGATATATAAGGATATTTAAAGGTGGAGGGTATACTCAGACATTTGACACCCAATAATTCGACACCTACGTACCCTTATTGACCTACGTACATAATAATAGCACTACCGTCCACCTATGTGATTCAAATATGAAATAACAATACACCAGTGTTGTTAGGACTTAGGGAACACGTTTCAAAGAGACACCTTTCTTGCGAATCTTGATAGGGATTTAAAGTGTATATTTTTGAGTTATTAATAAAAATAAATTCCATTTTTTTTTTAAGAAAAGGAATACTAAATTTTGTTCATAATTCATTTGTAATTAGTTATAAGTTATAACTAATTTGAAAAACAAATTGACCTACTTAAATAATAAAATTGTTTTAGTAAAAAAAAAATACACAATTTTGTTATTCGATACTCGATTATTAGATTATTCTTTATTCGCTTAGTTTGTACATTCAACGAAGGGTATTTATTTTTTTGTGAAAACAAGTTAATTTTGTCATCGCGAACGAAAGACTAAGCCACTTAGCTTAAAACCAATCCGTTGTAGAGGCCAATAACAGTAGGATTTGTGAAGACCCTCAACTGTTAAACCCTTTCAGAACGACACACTGTAGCCATAATATGCACAAATCTTAATTGTGTATGATTCTACTGTGGAAAGCTAGTGCTAAAATTATTAAGGAAAGCGAGGACAGTGCTCTAAGCCTATTTTTTTTTTATAAAAAAAAAGGTTTCTACAACAATTTCTCGAACACAAGAACGCAAAAGCCAATTATTTTTTGTGTAGCATTTAGTGTTATTATATATTTTTTTTTTTTTTAAGAGATGAATTTATACATCTATCTAGTCCGCATCTGCTGCACGTTATTAATTTAATATGCAAAATAAAACCGACGGATGTTTGTATAATTTTCAATATTTTATATTTCATTACATTCGATTCGTTTTGTTATTATTATGTCAAATTGATTAAACCATTATACAGTTCTACGGTTTCAAATTCGGTTGTATATATATATTATTTTTTAATGCTTATGTGTTCAAGTAAAAAGTGTATATTTAGATCCGTTTAGGCGTATGAAAACTGAAAAGCTGTTCGTCGATCTAATACAAATGTGCTTCGGTAGAACATTTCGTATCCGGTTTAATTGATGAAAATAAATAAATAAAAATGCCGCGTTAGTACACTAGATGCATACTTTCAGAGTCTGTATACAGTTCAGAGTCATGGATAGTGTTACAGCCACATAAATTCAAATAAATATTTATGCTAGAAACGGCCGTACCACCACAAACGTCATTATTTATTAACCCATAGTCCCGTGTTAAACTGAAGCCAACCCGTGTCTTTATACTCACTATAACAGCTAACATCCTCCGAGTTCATTTACGGTGTAGCCCGCACAGCCGGTTGGCGTTAAACCGTTAATGTCAGAGCGTTAACCGCCTTGTCTGTAAACAGCTCAAGTATAGTAATACCCCCAAGGGCTTTGACTTGGAAAGTACAGGTCCATCAAAAGACCTCTCGCAGAATTCGGGTAAAAATATATCTTCTCGGCGCCACTGTTCCGCGCTCGTTTAATATCAGAAATGCACCCCTTTTTTTTATGACAGTTTTAAACAGAGTCTGATGTCTCTGAATCGAGTGGAATTGAATTGACTCGATTGCGGTTGATAATAATCGTTTTATCGCTTTACCCCCGGATACGTCTGATGCGATAACCGATGTGCTAAGGCACGTTTGCCATTTTGAATGACGCAAATATCCGGATTAAATGCGCTTCCCTCGGCGCCGGTTCGTGTTTATGCGCTTCATACGCGTGGGAGTAGTTTATTAAATTAAAATTTCAAAAATCCAAGGGGAAATCATCGAAGCGACGGTGTTTTGCTCGGAACGTATTGACGTCAGACGCGGTGGAAATGTATTAATTTAAACCTTGTAAAGCGCCAAAACGCTACACTACAGTAACCAAAACCTACATCAGAGCCTGCACTTGTACGGTCACTAGGTCTGTGGCGTTAGACATCATTTCTTTGATCGGCCAATCATTATAGTTCGGATTTATATTTTCTTAAATTAACATACTCGACTGGGTCATATTATTGAGGCAAAACCAAATTTAACGATTTGGGTGGAGGAGCAATTGACCCACCGCCCATCGGTCTAGAACCTTATCGTTTCTGCACTTTTGTATGCTTGTTACATATTGCTTCGTGACATCGTGCATATCACTCATTCGCCTGTTTTTTTCTGTGTTAAAATATGATTACTGTAGTTAAACAGCAATTTATTTTGGGTTTTTTTTAAACCTCTGTGAAAATTTATTGTTTTGATTTCATCGAGTTTTCCAAATGATTATGATGCGTTCGAACTTAACTAAACCGACGGCCTGGATTAAGCCATCAATCTTGTACAAGCACTGTGCAATTATTGGACATGCTGTTGCGGTTTGTAAACTAGTTAATGCATTATAATAATAAAGAAAGCAGCTGCTGTTATCGGTCGGACGGGCAACGGACGTCGATGCAAATTCAGCAAATCCAATCGATTGACCGACCGAAGCGACGTAATGATGATTTGTTAGTATTCTTATTTTCGAATAAACCATTAGAGGTATACGATTTTTGTTCACTTTGACCGAAAAACGTTTTGTTGGCCTAACCTATCGTTTGATTTTGATCGGTGATTACGGTGAATTTTAGATTTTCAGCGAATTGGCCAACCGAAACCGAATCAGATTCAGATTCGTTTTCGGTCGATTTCCACAACAACAATTCTAGACCGTCGGACTACTTAGATCAGGTGTTTTTTGTACAGAACCAATGAGGGAGCAAGTTCCCCTCAACTGAATAATTTGGCCAGTTAGGCTTAGTAGTGTAAAGCTCGAAAAAGGGTTAGCATTTTGCGCACAGTACTTAAATTTTAGAAAAACGTTAATAAAGGAGTCTGTGATAGACTAATAAAATACACAATTAGTACCATTTTTACAAAAACAAGTTTTCGACCATAAAATATTTATTTATCTATTGGACCTATTCTATCTGTGATTGTTGTGTAATTTGTTGTCATTTACTTATGTGGTATCTACTAGTATTTTATTATTGTACAATTATCAAGATATATTTATTAGAATAACAAATATACGGTGTATAATATTGTTTTCTACAAGTTTCTAAAATTTAAAAACTTTATTATTACTACAAATAAAATTGGACGGTTAAAGACAATAATCTAGTTTTATACCTCACATAACGGACGTTTAGCGTTCTCTTAATAGTTTTAAAAGTTTGAAACTGTGCCTATTCTACTCGTTTAAAAGACAAACTTTACCAACCCTGGTTTCAACCCTATTTCGCAGAATAGGCCGTAATAAACTGTCGGGTTATCTTTATCGATACAGCACCCCCCTCGTTACATCATATTGACCTCCAGACTTCCTTTTTTGTAGACTTTTATACGCCCTTAGTCAAGGCCTCTAAGTTATTTTTATCGAATATTCGTTTATAGCTATGTATTTTGAATTTGCTGCCATTTGGCCCTTACCTTGGGCGTAGTGAAAAACGTCCCGCTGAGGCTGGTGACGGGCGGCCGTCCGGATTCGGTGAGGCAACCGTCCGATTTGGAATCGGCACAGGACGCTGGTGTCTGTTCGGGCACGTCACCGTCCCGCTTTTGGACGACCAGATCCGGTACGGACGACGTCTTCTCCAGTGGCTGCTGCTGTTGCTGGAGCTGCTGCAGCTGGCCAACGGCCACGGCGGATCGGTAGGTGTTGGGCGACGATGGCATGGACCTGGCCACCGCCGAGGGCGGCTCCAGGCCTTCCGGACGTGCGGCCAACCGGTCACACATCGCGCGCGCAACCGGCGGCGGCGACATCAATGAGTCACACGCCGCGTTCACGACAAGGGTGAGCGATCGCGACCGGCCGCCGCCGTCCCTGCGGCAGCCCGTTACTTTGCTCCGCGCAGTGTGGCCACGCGGCCCGATTTTTATTTTATCGGCTTGCCGATCGGTCTCAGTGACCCCCGGAGGCGTCCGTCACGGCGTGACGCGTTCGCAATGCGTAACACGCCAATCATTCGTCCGCTGTTTGTTGTTGTTATTTCTTGTCGAATTGCGGTTTTACGCTCCAGTTCGGCCGACCCGCCGACGTTTTGCCAAGGTTGTGCGGCGTACGCGCGGTTACGATTGCGGTCACACTGCGGCCGCGGCGGCGGTCCATTGGCTCCTCCCACCCCGCGCCGGCTTCGATCCCGTTTTGCCACCAACCAACCCCGTCCATAGTAGTCAGTACTATCAGTTTACTATAATATAGCTCTATATAACAAACAACACCCCTCTAGGTCACTAACCTTGAGATGGAAATTCGTTTTTACCCCCGCAGGCATTACAATAGGCTTATAAAAAAACATAACAATACAAATATTATTATTACTGTGGTCACACAGTTTCAGTATTGCTTGTAACACCCATAAACGTTGGGTGTGGTTGCTACTAACGGTCAGTAGTTTTAAAAAATGTAATTTCATTAAATACTAATTCTAAATACTACATTATTATTATTCAAAAAGTAAGTATTTTTAAGGAATTTACCAATAAAAACGATAAATAGAAACATGTATACAAACATATATTTTGTATAATTTATCGACAACAAATGACACAGCATAAATTATTACACTAGTATGTACATATAAAATGAATGATGTCAATCCTAACAAAACACATAAATTCAGTGAAAAAAGTTAAATAAAAACAAAACCGCAATAACGAGAGCTGTGTTCATTATAAATAAACATGTGTATAATAATGTCAAATAGCTACTATACATAAAAAAGAACTGTTGCTACAGTTAGTTCTTGTAATTTATAAAAAAAATTGTTTAATGCATATTATTTGTTAGGAAATATTATAGGCACTTGGGAAATAATATCAGCTTATTCGAAGTATTTCAATATTAAATATACAACTCTTATATGAATTTATGAAGGTACAAATATGTGTATCCGATTTACTTATAATTGATTTGAAACTGATTAAAACAGCTTTTAATAAATTCACTTAAAAAAACATATACTTTCAAACTGAAACAATAGGTCTGGTTAGTTCGTTTATATTTTAATTAATAATTATGTACTTATAGTTGAGTTAATATTTGTTATCTATCCATTATGTATGACAAAATGTTAGAGGAGGGAGGCCTACGACAAAGTATAGCCTTTAGAAAGGAATAAGTCATTGTATAAATTATAAACGACACAATATTTTGCATACTACACGTTCGTGTTAACTCAACTTTAATAATATTAATGTGAATTTTATGACGTGAGCGTAATCATATGCATGTTGTCATGTTATTTTCTCTTGGGTCTATATTACCTATGTATGGTATTATAGCCTTTACAGAGATTTCCACAAGCGATAAGTGAGTATGTATATTCGTCTACGGTATGATGTAAGCCTTATATCATAATATAAATATTAAAAAGCATTGGTACATGTAGTTTGCAAACGGTAGCCGAGGCGACTGCTTGGCGATTGGGTAAATAAATTATGAAATTTGTAATTAAAAGGAGACGGTTGTATTATATTTAATGTAGATACACATATAAAAAAAAATCAATTATAATAATAATTACTATGTAAAAAACAATAGCGCCATACGTGGCTGTGATGGAGCTCACAATAATAATTACAACACACATTGTTCCTTAATCGCGTGAACTTTAATCATATAAATTCCCTTCCGCACTTATGGACCACTTACTAGCTTATAGTTATAGCACAAGAAATTAAAGTTGATTAAATTAACGTTACAACGCCAATATGATGATCATTAGACGAGATTTAAAAAATATAATACAAAATTATTAACTATAGTCTATAAATACCACTTGTAGTAAATATTTATATTAAAAAAAAACGTTTAATAGTCTTCTGATCTCACTTGACCCTAATTATCCACACTGTGAGCAGTATTAATAATATATACAGTTAATTTAATCGAATATACTAATTGAGAGCACATAAATCAAATATGCATGAACTGTTATAATTTCATTAAAAAATTGTTTACTTTTTCTTTGGAATAACGTAAAAATACTAAAAAATTGAATTAATCCAAATTGACCTTTTCTGATTTGGGCAGCTGTTGAACAATTGGATTTTTTTTAAAGTAACACAGTTCACTATCCGTTTATCGCCTTTACTAAAATATAAACTAAACCATATTAGTTAACAGTTTTGTGTTGAATACGTCTTGTAGAATCACTTTGCGTGCGTGCAAATTGATAATTACAAAATGTAGGTATTTCTAATGTTTTTGTTTAAGTTTGCGGTAAAAGAAAATCGTTTTCTGATTTGTCGAAAAATGGAACAGAATAATTTACGCGTAAAACGGTTGTTAAATAATATTTTGGTGGTAAATTATAATTTCAATGCATTTTTTGAGAGCTATTCAGCCATCATAACGATTCAAAGTCAAAACTTGAAAATACTTTTTATTATAAGGAGGATTCTGGTGAGAGCAGCAATATGATTTTAGGACAAACGCGTAAACTCATTACTTAAACTGTTTTACATTTCTTTCGTGCAAGTTATCAATCAAATGAGATGGATTTCTCCATTTCCACGGACTGTGGACGTGCCGGAAAATGCTTAAAATGTTAAAAAAAATAGTGTCTACAGTGAAAATAATGAATGATATTATGATGAACCTTTTATTTTGAACGTTTTCCGACCCAATCAATCGTATTTGACCGAGTTATATTTATGTTTAGTAATATTAACCCACCTATACCCACCTGTCTACGCCGTTTTTGACAAACGACAGGCCGAGACGACCAAATTGAATACTGCGATGGCGCGTTCAATATAATGTAAATTATTGATGATGATTGTTGTTATTTGCTCGTTCGTGACCTTCAGTGAAAAAAAAAACACAATCTGTTTTTTAATTTCATTATAATTACATTACGTTACAAACATAACGATTTTTAGGGTAGGTAATGAAATGGTGAGCGGTTTTCATTGTTCGATATTTGTTTTTCTTTGTTAATTGTCTACAATTTTAGCCTTTTTATTCAACTCGAGTAAAATATAATTGTGTGCTTCACGCCGTGAAGTGTGTCGACTTCTTTGTTCCTCCTCGTCTTGTAAGTCGATCAACAAAATACTCGATAGATTTTTTTTTTAGTATTTATTTTACTTTGTTATTGTTTCAACGTGCGACCTTTGGCGAGGCCAATAGAATGGGCTTGTTTTCAAATATTTCAAATAATATATTCACAGTTCGAGAAAATATCTTTTCGAGTTAACAGGGACGTAAAACTGTACCCACCAAGAAACGATTAGACTGTTATGACTGCTCCGGATAAAAAAAACAACATCATTATCAACCTAAGAATTTGTCGACTTCCACGTAGAAATGGAACGCCGGCAAAATTCCTTCACTTCTCCTCCTCTCTACTGTACAACCCACGCTCTACGCCTGCTCCTAATTTGGTACTTCCAAGGTTTAGATTTCCCGATTACACCATTATATATGTGTTTAATCAATTCAGTATGTTGTTTAGATAAACATGTTATCATATATTTCCCAGTAGAAATGTATGTTTTATTCTTATTTAACAAAGAGCCAGGCTCGTGATCAGAAAATATCTTCAAAGAGGGGGAGAGGCTGAGTAAGGCAATAAATATTTTAACTTGAAAACTATTTTCCAATCAAACCTATTATAGAAATGGCAAATACCTGGGGTTTTAAACAAAAAAAAAACCTGACCCAGTTTTTCAGGGTATGTAGATAAAGTAAATTCTACAGATATTATGTCATTCATGTTTTTGTATTTTTTTCGAGCACGCTTCTTTATTTGAAAAAAAAAAATAATAAACTGCATTCAATTTACCGGTTTGTTCTGTTGCTCTTCGCGGTTGTTTAAACGTTTGATATGTTTTAGATGAGTACATATTCAAACTGTACCGGCGGCAATAATTGCTGTCGACGTTCATGAGATCCAGTTAACGGTCATGTTTTTTTTTGTCTTTAACCCCCTCTGACCTCTATCGAAATCGTTTATCTAATATCTATCATTAACTTTGGTGTTTGACAGATTAAAAACTGATGAAATTCTCAACAAGTTTGCTTAGAAGAAAGTTGCTAAAAAAATTGGACGTTTATTTATTGTTGACTCAATTGTACTTCGTATTGTACTACGAAGTACACATAAATGGTAATCATTTTTTGGTTTAGTTAAAATGAAGTTAATGAGATTGTTTTTAATTGTGCCTGAACCCAATAAAATATCTTCTAGGCCGTTAAACCGATTTCTTCATGTAGCAAGTCCATATAGTCTCCCCTCCCGCCAAAAAATTCTCCGTTCCCACTATACTATACTATGCCCGGACTTCACTTTGTTTTCTTTCTTTTGTCTAAACTAGTAATATTCAACATTTACTAGTTCCTAAGCATTCCCAACTGTAGTTTAAAAGCAAATATTTATAACTGCTACTAGAACTAGCCGACTGGCAACTCATATAGGGGTTGTGGTCGTTCGCCATAAATAATTTCGTATACACCCTGTCTTACAAGAAATCGAATTACGCCACTGTTGGGTTAACGGGTAAATATTTTAACAACGTTTAAGCACACGAGTGACCTAAATCGGAAATTTGCGCGTTTCACAAAAAGTACATAATTTCGTGGAAACCGTCTGGTCGATAACGGCGGCTGTGGCGTATCCTAGCGCACAGGGATCGCCTTGACCCATTACCTACCGCAGTGGCCGGGATAAATTCTGGATTTCGGGGTAAGGGGTTCTTGTATTGATTGGACTCCGGACGACCTTGACCGACGGCAGTGGCAACAACAAGCTAAGTGGTGATTTTCGTTTAACGTTTGTATTTTATACGACCATTATTATTATTAAAATCTAAAACGCTCTCAAACAAAATATAACATGCTAACCAGTTTTGAATAAATAATTTTATTATCGTTTTACCTCTGTTAAACTTTAAAGTTTAAGTAAAGCAAACAGTGTGTGTGTGGGTTAGTAGTTCGTGAGCCTGGCCTATACCTTTAAAAAATAAACGTTAAAAACTTACAAAGTATTTAACAAAAACTACTTATCTACCAGTCATGTTATACCGTTCTAATTATAACAGACAAATAAAAAATGTACGTTGCCATTTTTTTTTAGCATAGAACGTGCTTTAGCCTTGACCTCCCAGCTCGAAAACGACACAACATAGCGTCACGAAAGTAGCGCGCCTACATTAAACGTATAAGAACATATTATAATTTAATTACTAGAAAACAATTTTTTTCAACACTGCTTCAGTACTCTATTTGAGGAATTTTAACCACTTTCAATTGTAGTTCAACCGCAGATGTGGCGTGAAGTTATCAATATTTATATGTTGAGCTACATCCAAGTTTTTAGGATTTTGAAACTTGAATTTTCAAATTTTTTTTAATAGAATATTGAAAATCTTCACCTATTTTTAAACCTTAACAATAAATATTCCATTTTAAAGTATTTGGGTGTTGAGATTTTCCATAAAATGTTGTCCACTCTCTTAAAGTAGAATTTCAATTTATGAAGTACATACAATTATTATTAATCATAGCAATAACATATAATCCTAATCACCAGAAACCCAAACAAATGAACTGAACCATTATATAACTATTATATTTTTTTATTGCTAAATACATCGTTTATTTTTATTCCAAACTAATAGTAGAAAATATATATATATATTTACATACAGAAAAACATCATAACACAGGTTAAGACTAAACACAGTAAATTTACATCTATAAATGATATAGCACTGTAACGGTCGTAATATGTGTGAAATAACTTTGAACCGTCTTAATAGACTGGGTTAGTCAGCAACCTTTAACAGAATTTTACCGCTGGTCTTGTCTGTAGCGAAATGTTCTAACGCTTCGTTAACTCGATCCAGGTTGAGCGTTTCTGACACATCAGGACTGATCATGCCCATTTTGCACATGGTCAGCACATCTTTGACGGATTGCCTGCAAACAACACACAGAATAAATTTTAAGGTGATTTTTCTTTTTGATATGGAAAAGGTGTTACATGCGTATTAGTTGTTCATTCTTCACCTGCATTAAATACAAATACGATGAACAATATTTCATAATAGATGCAGTGGTTAAAAGTTATTGTAAAACGTGTGTCCAAGTACAAAATATCATGCCAAATAGTTGTTTTTAACTCATAGTAATAAATACTTAACTTACAATATAAACAGTATAAGAGTTCAAGTGTTCATCTTATATATTCTTAAAATTTCAAAGTGTATACTCATACTTATGTAAAATATAATTTAAAAATAATTACCTGTATACTTTTACTGAGTGAGTACGATAGTTGTTTAATGACACACCGATTAGACTGAATGAAGGACGTCTAAGCAACTCGTTAATATTCAATTCAGGAATTTGACGAGATGCAAACCCTGCTACTAGAACTTTCCCTTCATGATTTACGCTGAAATCATAATTATTAGATTAATATTACTTAAGATCCTTGTGTTGAATACAGATAAGAAAGATAAAAGGAAAAATAGATGTATCTGGAATGAGAACATTGAGCAAACTAGCTTACCAGTCTAATGCCGATTGAAATATTTCTCCACCAACAGCATCAAACACAACATCAACACCTTTTCCTTCAGTTTCTTTTAATACACGTTTGCACAAGTTTTCAGGGTTTTTAATTTCAAACGACATGAAAGCTCCTTTTTCTCGAACTAACGAAGTATTTTTTTCCAAACGACAAGCCCCTATCACCTATGATATAGTTACAAATTAATTAATTAAATATGTCTCGTTAAAATTTACAAAAATACAGAGACTGTTTTTACAACCTTGGCTTTACACATGTTCGCTGCAATATCAACGGCGGCTAGACCCAAGCCACCCGCAGCAGCGGTAACCAAAACGGTGTTGTCCTTTTTCAAATTAGCTCGGCGTGAAAGACCTAATAGTGCAGTTGCATAACTATCTCCGATAGAAGCAGCAGATTCGTAAGACAGCTCTGATGGAATACTAAATACATCCTAAGCATTAAATAAGGTATTATATTACATCATCATAACATCTCCATCGTTAGGGTGGACTGATCAAGTTTCAAACCAGTGGACAAATTCAAAAGCGACTCCATAATACTTAAAATAATAACTATTTGATTCATAGTTCAGATTATAAGGTCAAAATTAATTTCATTATGAAAACGTTTTAATAATGTTATAATAACCTAAATATTATTTCTAAAACAAAAATAAAATGCTTAACATTATTATTCAAACACAATTTAATTTATCATATTAAACACAGCTCAGGAAGCATGAATATAATACATTAAACTGGTTCTATCAACCTAGAACTTTTGTTTTATTAAGAACCAAAAAAGCTAATCCCTGATAATATTTGGAATTGTCTCATCTAAAACTTGTAGAAAAATTATTGTGTAATATAAATTTTTATTTATACATACTTTTTCATCAACAATACATTCTTCAGCAAACCCACCCAAAATTTCTTTGTTCAATACTAGGACGCGATCGCCAACAGTTATGTCTTCTTCTTCTTCGTTGGAATTAGTCGCTCTAGATTCAATCACTTCACCCGCTAATTCGAAACCAGGAACAAAAGGCAAAGTAGGTTTGATTTCAGATAATCCGGAACACATTAAAGCATCTGAATTATTCACAGCGCAATACTTGACAGCGATTCTTAGCTAAAATTGTAAATATTACGTCAGTAATAGTAATAAAATAAAACGTCATTGATGGATAATTATTAGATTTACATAAATACTTACTTGTCCTTCTTTGAGTTTATCAGGAATTTCAAAATTTTCTATAGCTAACGGTTCGTTAACAGCTTTTAATACTGCCGCTCTTGTCGATTTCAGACAAGTGTTACGAATAACTTCTTGACATACACAAAACTTATGACTAATGCGACTGAAAAACTTCATGATTACAACTTTTTCGGTAATTCTATGTAATTTTCAAGGAATAACAAATTTACATATTTTTATTAAGGTATATTTTTTATATACTGGACCGTAGACGGTAGACGGCGTAGAGTAATAATGTGCTGGACGAGTATTTGTATGACATATAAATAAATAGGTAAGTCAGCAACTTGTGTTATCAACTTTAAAATATGGTAGCCGGTTTTCTCTCCTAAGAAATATACGGCCGTCCGAGAAAACTGGCAGTCATTTTTTTGTTATCAAATTTTGCTGATATACCAATTTACTTCATCATGAATTTGTCTACTTTTATAAAAAAAAAGGAAATTCATACTGTTATCACAAAACCGGCATTATCAGTAAATTTGATAAGCTAGTTATTATATCGAGATTTAACTTATTTAAAAAATTATTCTGATTTCTGTTTGAGAAGTATTATTATTAAACTTTAAAGTAGTTTTTCAAATTTTATGTGACAATTATATAGTCCAGTATTTAGTTAGTTTTTGCATAGTTTAACATATTTTAATTTCAATTTATTCTATGAAATAAAGCTTATATAAAAAAATGAATAGAATTTTGAGATTAGTTTTTAAACGTACTTCTATTCCAAAAATCTCTGTACAAAGTACTCGTGTCATTTCAAACTGCAGTAAACACTCTATTATTTGTGGTCAAATCCGTCCAATTTTATCGATAAAACATGACATTAGTTTTGCAAAACGATATAAACGTACGAAAAAGGTAAACGTCAGTTCTATTTAAAATAACACATGAGCTTTATAGTACTAATTTAGTTAGTTTCTTTGTTTTTAATTAATTTAGACCGACAACGAAGATTCAGATGATGAAGATTTAGAAATGGACGATTCCAGTCAGTTGGTTAAATATAAAACGAGCTCTTTACGAATGGACAGTGTTCTCAAGCATGCATTAGGTAGATCGAGAAAGTAATTTCCATTTGTTGTATTATTCAACTATTTTTCTTAAAGTTATTAATTTATTTTGTATTTACAGTAAAATTGAAACAGCCTTTTATGAAAGTCGTATCCGAGTAAACGGAGAAAAAGTATTGAAAAAAAGTCATACGTTGGAAATAGGTGACGAAGTGGACTTGATCAAAGGACCTAGCCCAAACAATCCAGACTTTCTGTTGGTGTCTAGAATAGAAATACTATCAGCTAATTTAGATGGTGATGAATTATTAGTTAAGTTAAGAAGATTCAAAACACTGCTAATTAATAACTATTCAGACAAATGGAAACTACCACAGTAACACATTTATTGTTTACAAGACAGTTGTTTGATAAATCTCGAGAGAACTGGTGTTGTAATAGAAAAGATGTTGGAATATTTGTTTTGTATTGTAATAATAGTAGAAAAAAATATAAACTACAATTAATAGTTTTAATTTTATATTAAAAAGTAATCAACCATAATATAAAAAAACATTTACCAGAAGCAAAACTGATTTAAAATACATTTCCGACATAAAATAATGGTAACAAATTAATATTAGTTATATAATCTCGCCTTTTACGGAATAAATAATAATTATTATAATTAAAAACATGGCTAATACTAAATTATACTATACTTAAAATGATTTCAATAATCTAAATTTCGCTATAATTTATATCTAAAGAAAAGGATACACCATATAAAATATATATATTGAAATATTGTGAATAACATGGTCTCATATAGTAAAATAAAACTTATGCCATAGCGCTGGCCGGCAACGAACTATGTTTAGGCTTCATTCGGTTGACAAACACGCGTATACATCCGTTGAAATCGGCACTTACTAAGACATATCCATCTTGACTTTGGTTGTTTTCATCAGTTTTCATTTGTCTAAATACCACTTCTGGATTGGGTGCGAAAATTGCACAGGTAACAACGGCGTTGTGTGCTTTGATTCCTTCCCAATAATCATTTCGGTCTCTCCGTACGGACGTGAACTTGGAGTAATCATGATGCGTTTTCCATACATATATACACTGATTTTCTGAACCGCATACAATATACTTGCCGTCGTGACTGAAGCTAGCCTTGATTTGACTACTTATATTTACATAACCTTTATATTTGCATGACAGATTTAGATCTCTAAGATCGTACAACCTGATGCGACTGTCATTTGATGTTACCAATATTTTATCCTCGCCAGGCATTGGTTCAATACCACTTATTTTTCGTCCAGTCGAGTTTCTGCCACGTGTTGAACGGACATGTATCTGAGTGTGATAGCGCAACTGATCGGTTGTGTAAAATATGCATCGGCCGTCATAAGAGCCCACTACGGCAAATTTGCCGTTTTGACAGAAATTAGCAGCAGTTATCAGTTTTGTCTGCCCTTCTACTTCGTTCCACACCGCTACTTTTTTGTCGGGGATATTCCAAAGACGTAGTTTGCCGTCTAATGATCCACTCAAAAAATATCGATCGTCTCGTGGATGGAAACATATTGCAGTGACAAAGTCGATGTGTTGAAAGCAACATAAACATTCCCTTCTACTAATATGCCACAGTCTAACAGTTTTATCCATTGACGAAGACAGGACAAAGTAATTTTTCGACCATGCTATGTCCAACAAATCGGACCGATGACCCGTGTACGTACAAAACGGACGTGATATGAACGGCCCACGATCATCAGGATCTGCAGCAAATGATTGATCATCGACAGATAGCTGTGAGACTAAAGATTCTGTCGACGGTGTTGGTGAAACTTTTTCAGCATCATATTTTTTTCGCATTTCGTGGAAATCTTTATAGGCATCACGTAAAACCCATATTCTGAGAACTCTATCTTGCCCAGCTGTTGCAAGAAGTCGACCACACATTGAAAATTTCATGCACCAAACAGGCCCTACGTGCTCATTACAAAATTCCTAAAACACGGACAAATTGTAAATATCATTGTTGAAAAAAAAAAAGTTTTAAACCTGCTAAAATACCTGAACATGCTGAACTGAATCAAATTCGTAAGGACCTTTATGACTATTAGAAGATCGTAACTTGAAAGCTTCATTGACTTGAGGTGGGTTGGCAGCATCGGCTGCTGGTTGTGGCCTTTCTACCAAATCGACTATTTCCATAACGTCTTCTTTGTGCCGTACATGGGACACTTCATGAGCAATGGTCTTGGCTTTGTTTACAGTTTTCTTTACCGTCGTACCCAAAAATCGTTTGATTCTAGCAGTTCGACGACGTATAGCTGACTCGTCCACAGGGTCGTCTCGTCCAGTAGCTACCGTTTCGTTGGATTTACTACCAATGCTTTCTTCGTCGGATTCTTTTGGTTTTTTAATAAAACTACTTCTATATGAATGGGAATCCAAATTTGGAGTACTGACATATTCCGATGTCAAACGCATTATATGCAATGATAATGGGTTAATACATTGTGGTAACTTATCCTCGGCTATACTCAATGGAACACGTTCCCCAGTATCCAAATTCAATACGGTTATTTGTTCCAAAATTTCCTAAAAATAAAAAATAAATTTAATCAATATTAAGCCTCGAAAAAAATTATTAAAACTGTCTATTAACAAAGCTGTTAATGTTAACAGTATGTAGATTATCTTTAATTTAAAGTTAGAAATAATTTCATTCGCAAACAAAAATGTATTAATTATTTGTTGAAAAAAAAAATTGTTTATTATTCCGTTTAAATTTTGTCAAACACTGACTATAGCACAACGTTATTAAAATGAAATTAATAAGTTTATCCTAGAGAGCAGAGTTTGGAAATAACCTAGGTTTTTTTTAAAAGCTCAATCCAGTCAAGGTTTTGGGTATGACTATGTCCAATAAAAACCTAAAACCTATATTTTTTCTTAAACACAAAAAAGTTTCTGGGCTTTAACAAATTGAACTATGCTATTTTTCTAACTGCTAGCAAATCAAATTTTTACTATTTGTGTTACTTACTATGTCAGTCAGTTTTTTCCCTGAATCAGTATGGGTTTTTAAAAACATATTTAATTGTTGATCTCGAAGTTCTTGCTCATCGCCAGCTGATCTACGTCTTTCTCTTGAAGTCACACGGTTATGGGAACGAATAGAAGTTATACCACTAGTACCGGCCATTGGATACGTATTGCTGTGGGAGGTAAGTGTTTTTGACTTTTCTTTTACTTCGTCAGTTATTTCTTTTATCACACTTAAACCTGGCTTCTCTTCATCCTAAGAAAAAAATATAAAAGTTACTAAATAACAATCATTTAACTTGGAACAATGTAAACAACAAAATTACTTGATGATTAACGACATATTGCCCTTTGGTAGCAGAATGAAGATCTAGAGAATGTTCCAATTCCCTCGTCAATGATTCGATTGTACTCGCCGGACTCGTTAAGCAACTTGTATTAGATTCCTCACTTTGAGCAGCATTAGTTTGTTGCTACACAGTTTATTATAAACAAAAGTATCGCCAATTAATATGATGGTTTAAATATTAAAAATAATTTTATTAATAATACATTAGGATTATCTATAGTTGTCGTAGCACCAATACTTTCAGTTATGACTGTTTCTGATTTTTTGCGTCTTCTACGTCTTGGTGGAGCAACGGGTCTATCATTCTCTATATTGCATGTGCCATTAGTCGAAGTCTTTGTGCTTGCTATCACATCAGGTTCATGAAAAGTGCTAAAATTGTCAGTGGGTACAATGAATTTATCTTCAGACGAGATAGGAGTAGAAGGTTCAGATAATAATTTTGTACAATCTGACGGACGTAAAGTATTATCCTTCCCTAAATATAAATAGAGTTAAAAAAACTGTTACAATTACAAAATAATTGAAAAAAAAACAAACCTATGTAATGATCAGAAGGTACACTTCCTAACAGTCGACCAACTTTTCCTAACGATAAAATGCTTTGAACAGATGCTCCATCAGGCTCAATTACCCGGAATGGATGGCTTGGTTTGTGTGAAGGTGCTAAAAAGACACCATCGGCCGACGAAGCCTGACTTTCAGTAGGAGATACAGCTTGCGATTCATCTTCATCGATTTGCATATGTTGCCGGATCTCGTTAAATTTACGGCGACCATTGTGCTCTGAATTCTGCAGAAATTTATGTTTCAGAATACACAATAATAGATTGACAGTGATAAAAGTTTGTTCATTCTTACCAGTTTGGCAGGATTACTTATTTTGAAAGACAAATTCTTCTTTTTCTCATCTAAAATTTCTTTTTCACTTTTGCTAGTTTGCTTGGGTACATCACTAGAATAACAATAGTGTATTTTAAAAATGGTGTTAAAAGATATTTGAACAGTAAAAAATTACGTTACACACTTTTGATCATTTCGAACTGTATAATCTTCAGCGTCGAAAAATTCATCCGTGTCACTACTGGAGTTTGACATGTTTAACTGGCAAACATTTTATACTACAATCATATTTTATAACAAGAAACAAATTAACAAAAAAAATGTTCTTCTTTTAAAAATTAAAAATTTAGCTAAAATTACAATATACCGAATAATAATGAATGAAATACCGAATACACTATGAGCTAATCACATAATACATTGTTATAATAAATAACCGAGATAAGAATGGTTTCTTTATTTTAAGAGTTCCTTGTTAAAAGATAATAAAAGTAACCTTTGGCCTTGACGTTAAGATGTTGTCTTTCAAAACTCTTAAAAAGACATTTTATTCCGGTTGGCGATTTGTTCGCTAAATATTTTCGTCTTATTTGTTGTTTACAATAATAATAAAAAATTGATAAATATCAAGATAAATCCACCTTGATAAATACCCTACAATAAAACCGTAAATGTGATAAGATGAGGTTTCCGGTACAACTGTACAAGTACCTGGTTGCGTTTCACCTCCAACCAAAGAAATTGAACAATATAGTATAAACGTTAATTTATACTTTTGATAACACATGATAAGTACCTTCGTTTAGAACATCGCATTTACTTATGATTTATGAGTAAATAAAGTAATATTTTCAATGTTAATAATTACATGTTTTTTTTTATGGAACTCGTTAATATCATGGCCAATGTGGCCTTAAATAGGACAATACACAGTCTATTTTTTAAAATGTATCCTCGCACAATGAGTTTTACTCACACTATGATGGGTTAAGGAAAATTACCTTATAAAATTTTGACCATCAAATAATAAATACAGAAAATAGTACCTATAGAGTTTTTACAAAATATTATTTTAGTATCAAAGTAAAGCTGAAAAGTAGTAAATTTTTTTAATTAATCATAAAATATTCGCTTTATTAGATACTTTTAAATATTATAACTTATAACCGAAATGGCAAATGTGTTTAAAAAAGTTTTTTCCTTATAAAACAGCATAAATTTCATGCTTAATTAAAAATGGAAAAACTAGTTTGCTTACTCATGAACAAACTGGTGTTAAACTTACGTTGTCAGAAATTTTCAATGACAAACTTTTAAGAAAAAAAATGTATTATTATTCATAAGATACGATATGCCATAGCGCATATCTACACTGCAATTAACAAAATTATAATTTAAATATATTTTTTTCCAAACAAAAATACACATCCAAAAATGTTTACTTCCTTGTTATTTATTTTTGAACTGATATTACTTTTTTGGGGGATTTAGGCTACATTACAATTATGGAATACCGAATACTGATTATAATTTATATACTAGTGATTGAAAACATTTCCGAGCCAAAATGTACATATTATTTAACTAATAAATCACCTGATTTTAAACAAGTAAAGCAATTTTTTTGAATTTAAAGTTGAGCTATTCTATTTGATCGATATATATATATATTGTTCTTGGAACAAAACGTTTGTATCGTTCCAAAAGTTACAATTTCAATTAGGTAAATTTGTTTTTGATTGCATTTTTTTCAAAAAAATTATTCTGTTAATTATTTTAATAAAATAAACTAAATAAACCTTACGATTTGTTTTAGAAACGTTTTCAATTCTTGGTTTTAATTGCAAGTTGAACAGTAAAATGAACAACATTTTAATATAATTAAATGAAACAAATTGGGTAATTGAAAACATATACCAGTTAGGTGATTGATTAGTGTTTAAGAGTTTATTCTTAAACTTTATTTTGTATTGTGTAGACGAAAAAATCGATAATTATTATTTTAAAAATTATTTTGGCGCTTCAACAGTTGATGAGATAACCAAGTACGCCAACTTTATTTGCAAATATATTCCATACAAAGCTACACTGTACTGTTGTTGTTTTTAACACTATGCTTACCAAATACCAGCATCTATTCCTATCAAATTTTCATTCTTGATTTCTGAAATTTTAGATTAAAAATTAAAAAACAATTCAAGTTACAAGTTTAATGTTTATTATTTAATCGTCTAATCGTTAAAGCCACTCGTCCAGAATTTAGATTATTTAATTTGTAGTATTTGTACAATAACATTTTACGAAAATGTCTTTCGAGTAATGAAATTAGTGAGTAAATTATTCCTGTTCTGTTACTATTTTTTTTATTACCATGTCATTAAAATTTCTAACGATGAAAGGTTACAGACAAATACAGAGGTTAAAAAGTAGTAAATCAAAAAAATATTTATCACTTCATTTTGTCTATAGCCAACGTAATCACATCTATTCGAATTAGGTATTCAGTGGAAATATTAAATTTTGAGACTATGTTATAGCCTCAAAATTCGTTCAAATATTGCTTGGAAATTAGTGCAGTTCATTCATGTTATGTAATCACTTTTTGAATATGTTAATTAGAAATTCCATAATCAGTTTTGTCGGGATGGAAGGAGACTATATTCAGCAAAACCTTTTAAACTAGGTTGACCACAGGTCATCTCTGAATGTTATATTATTCAAAGTTTGTTATAATACATTGATAATAGAATGTTTAATATTACGGACATAAAAATGGTTTTTAACTTTTAAAAATAAATAAGCATAATTTTTTCGATTGTAGTAACTACTATTTAGTTGATTGTGGTCTCAAGTTTTAGTGGGTATTCAAACAGCTTTTAAAATGTAAAAATTATTTATTCTTTGTATATTTTTTCTTTGTAGATTTTCATATAAATAACATACAGTGATGGCATCTAGTCGAGGTATTCAGATTGGTTCTGCGTGGTACCAATGCAAAATTAATTTACGTCCACAACATAGAGGTGTACATTTAGTAACAGAAGAAATATTGAAACAAGTTTCTGAGATATCTCAATTTTCCGTCGGGTTGTGTCATATTCAAAGTAAGTAAAATCATTTTTTTTATTAATTAGAAATTAGTTTATTAGTACAATTGGCACAAAATTGCAACTAATAAATAAATTATAAAGGGAAAATATAAATGTATAAGTTAAAAGAAAATCTGAAAAAAAGGTTGTGATCAAGTAAAATGTGAGAGAACGAATAAGTCATGATGATTAAATATAAAATAAATGCACACGTCAAGTGTATTTTTAAAAATTTTTAGAACACTATCAATTTGAATTGTTAGTAGAAATCTAGACAACATTAAAGTATGAGGTATTTATTGAATCCGAAGTAATTTGTTTGATTTGCATTAAAAACTGTAGGTTTGTTTTCATAGCAGCAGTAAGTATTATGTTTTGTCATTTGTGTCTGTAATGACCAAAACTAATACTTTTCAACTTTAATAGCCAAATATTGTACTACTTACTAATAATTATATCATGGTGCTAAACAAAAAAAATTCCCTTGTCGTAAGGAGAATGAAACATATTACTACTTTTGTAACGGGCATTGCTATGTTCTATATTTATTATATCAAATTTTTTTTTTAATTTATAGTTTTGCATACATCAGCGAGTTTAGCGATCAATGAAAGTTGGGATCCCAATGTTCGGTAAGAAATACTATTGTGATGCACTATAATTTCTATATTACTAAACTTGTAATCTGTTTTTTCAGGGATGATATGGAGATGATGTTAAATAAAATTGTACCAGAAGTAAGTCAGTTGTATTTTAAATAAAGATGAATGATAATGATTTAAGAGAAATTATCGAAATCTATATTGAAAAAATAGCCAACATAGTGAGGATAGAGAAGTCGTATATTTTCAGCATTAATTATAACTGAAAGCAGACCTAAGCAGTTTTTATTTCAATAATAAATAAGAAAATGAATTATTTCAAATAAATTTGTTTTTAGTGTATCAAAAAATTTAATTGAAATAAATTTATTATTTTATTAAAAATTTTTTCAGGGTTTACCATACAGACATTCGTGTGAAGGTCCTGACGATATGGTAAGAGAATTAAATCATTTTTAAAATTTTTAATTGACAATGAAATAATATTTTCTGTTACCAATTTGCTTTATAGCCAGCACACGTGAAAGCATGTTTTTTGGGATCATCGATCACTATTCCCATTACTGAGGGAAAACTTAATCTTGGCACATGGCAAGGTATTTGGCTGTGTGAACACCGAAATCATGCAGGCAGTCGAAAATTAGTTATTACGTTAAATGGTTCACCTAATTCTTCGGCAGGCGACTGTAATAGGTCGCCAAACTCTCCGTCCTCTCCAATGGCCTCGTTAAGCAGTTAGGCGCGAAAAATTAACTTCTATAAAGAAAAATAGACATTTTAACCAAATTTTCTAGAAATTTTTGTTAGTTGCCTGTTGCCTCTAGTCAAATATTAAATAAGCACACATTTATCGCAACTGCCAATATTATATGACAAGATTTATAGTACAACTGAATATAAAACATTCCTTAAAAAAACTAATTCATTCCTAAAAACTAATTGGTAAGATTAAAAAAAAAAGTGATAATAGACATAATATTATTATTCATTATTATATAAACAAATAAGAAAATTCATTATTTGCATTACATTGTCATACAAACGACACTAGAAAAATTCAAATGTTGTATATTTTTAATTATTTCAAAGATAATTGTTCAATTGGTTAAATATAATCTGTAATAAGAATTTTAAGGTCAATCAATCGCGATTTTATTTTAGTATTGTAAAACAGTTTACAGTATATAAGTGGTGCATTGTATAATAATTTGTACGAACTTTAATTTAATAATGTTGTATAATAAATTTTAAATGTTTTAACAACTTAATAAACGTCCATAAAAAAAAAAACAATTATAACATATTATATAAATAGTGCTTGTTTTGAATGTTTTTGCTATAAATAATTGTCAATTTAATTTAGTAATAAACAATTTGTTGTTTTTAGTTTAGCATCACAAATCTCATATATTATGACAAATTTTATCATATTTTGAGATATACTATAAATTATACAAATTTTACGAGTGGTTTATTTTTTGTTTTCTGGAGTTTTACAGAGTATCTTTATAAATAAAAATTGTAATATACAACAAAGTACAAGGCACGAGTGATTTCAAAAAAGAAATTTTTTTTTTGGGTAACAGTAATACACATTTGAACTAAACCTTAGAAAACCACAACATTAAGTATTCTAATACTTTCAAACATATATATAATTTTACTAATCAAAGTTATTAAGTGTGGTTATATAACGGTATACAAATAAAAACAAATAACTAAGTATATTAAATAACATTAATAATAAATATCTTTGGAAATAGGAACAAAATTAGTGGACGTATTTTCTTGGTGTGCATACAGGTTTCTTTCATCGACAATGAAAACTTATGAGTAACAATTGTTACCATTAATAATTTATCTAATAATTGTAAAAAAGTGTTTTTATACATCAAAACATTGTTTGTATTTTTAGTTTTAAGTCTTTACATCAAAGCTGTAGTAAAAAAATACTTATTGGAATTCAAAAATTAATTTTGGCGTCAATGTAATTATTATATAAATTAATATTTGTTTGTTAATATTCAGAGAATGGGTGCAGTTAAGAAATAAAGAAAAATAAGAGAGAAATAACAAGTTTTTATTAAATACTATTTAGCCTCGATAATCGTTTTCACTGCTGATGATTGCGAGTTCATTTGCTGACTTTGATTTTGGTACACTGTTATTTTCATCCTGTACAAAGCATAGTGTAAAATCAATACATTTTTCTGAATAAGAAAAAATGTAAAATCAAATATTTATGCCTGGTTGCGTACACAACTTGTTTTACTTTATTTACGATTAAAAGTGTTATCTGATCAAATATTATTGGTTATAATGTAACGAGTCATTAATATATTTTCAAGTTTTTTTGTAAATTAATCACATTGTAATTAATTTTATTATTACAGTACATAAATAAATACTATACTTGCATTTAGTTTTAGGTTATCGCACATTGCCTCTGGCATAGAATGTGTAGAAATTAGTATTCGTTTAGCTGTTTCATTTACACGTACTCCAATATGCATCATAATTTCAGTCATTTTTTGTGGGTAATCAAAATGACCTATAAGATTAAATAAAATAATAGAAGTAAAAATGTTTGAATATTTTGTTGCTATTCAGTTTAGTTTACTGTCTTCTAGCTATTTATTTTTAGATTACCTGAAACAATATCAGTTAAGTCAATGTTTTCGATTCCTTCTGTCTGAACAGCTTCGAGACCGGCCACACCATGTGTATGCATGGAAAGTGTTCTGTATAGGAATTTTAATAACCAATCGCTCCTAAAATAAGATTGAGAAAAAGATTAGGTTACGTCAGTTAACGAAAAATTTACAGAGAATTAATTTTATTTCTCACCTACAATAGGCATTTACCACCCTACCAGCCACAACTTGCGTGATTTTGTTCCATTCTGTAGTATTTCGGGTACAAGGAGTGCCGATCATAATTGCGTCTTGAACAATACCGTGACTTTTTTCCCTTTGCGACATTTCCTAAATGAAGATTAAAGTAAGTGTTTAAATGAATTATATATTTTTAACTCAAATTATGACATACTCGCAAACAGTAATAAATAACACGAGCCCCGAGACTGTATCCAATTAGTGTCACTGGCCGATTACCATGGCTATGCGTTAGCAAGGTTTCCGCTAATTGTTTGCCAACTTGTGCTGACCGCCGACAGCACACACCCCATGGGTTATCAATGACGGACGCTAGGCCCAGTATACCAGCTGGCCACGCTATAGCTGCGATTAAACCGGAGAGTACGGTAAATTTTAAAGACTCTTGTACAGCTACAGTTACAGCAAAAGTAAGAAAATATTCCATAGCTCTTCCCAGTTCTAAAAGATATGAAGATTCATATCGTAGGTAATATTGTTCAGGACTTTCCTAAACGAAAAATTAGACAGTATAAAATCAAGTTTTATTTGAATTAACAGGCATATATTATCATACTTGAAGGTATCCCCAAGGTTGAGTATAACTAGTTTCATTTTCGTCAATCAACCAGCCAGATACAGCGATGGTTATGTGCAAGTGGACGTCACCTGTAACTGCACCCGTCGATAATTTATGGAATTGAAATTCTTCTATATCGCCTACTCTTTTGTGCATTTTGTAACCTAAAAAAGAAAAATCAATAATAAATTTATAAAGATCAGTTTTTTCAAGACAAATGACGCCAATTATTTTGTTAGTTAGTGCAGGTATGAAACGAGCCTTATTCAACAAGTATATTTCAACGGCACATTTACTTTACCCGTTAAACTAGCTCCAGCTACACCAAAGAGCGATCCAACAACGGCTGAGCCACCTAGTGTTCCAATTGCTCCTAAAATTGCAGAAGAACCTAAGATACTGGTAAGTCCAGTTCCGATAAGTGGAGCCGCCAATCCTCCAGTTAAGCCGATGGCAATTCCACCACCGATCGAAGCCAATCCGATCATAGCATAACGTTTAGTTTTTGAAATACGTAAACGACGGGCTGCAGCCACTTGTTCTTGCCTAGACATACATTTTTTCTAATTATCTTAAATAAAAACAATATTATTATTAGTTTGATTTATATACATACTCAGTCTGGGCTGGTGAAAAATTTGATAAACAATTTACAATTGTTAGTTCAATTGAGTCCACAAGACTTATATCGATATCAAAAACTCGAGTGACATACAAAATAAGAACTCTCCATCGAGCATCATAGGTACCTATAAAATTTGAACATAGTTTTATTGCAAAAATTGTAAAAAAAACGTATTAAATGTTGTATAAAATGTACTAAAATACATACCGATTAAAATTCCTTAGAAAGCATAATAAATTTAAAATTTGGTTAAATTATAAATTATATGTTTGTGGTATGAATTTGATCAAATTAAAATATAGGTAATCAAATTAAAAAATGTCACCATTTGAAATAGCCAGCAGTAGAAGATCTTTTACGATGACTGTCATATCTCCATTGAGTACTTCCTCTTTTTTTAAAGCTCTAACATAAACTTTAGCATCTAAGGGTAATTCACAATTAGCCATCTCACGCATAGTTCTCAATTGCAGCATTAACTGCAAGTGATTACAAAGGGCACGAAGACAGCTTAGCTTGAATTCATTATGGATAGGATCTCGGTAGAGACAACTCAATGAAGTAGCACATAGTGCACAACATGAAAAGCGCCCAGTCGATGATAAACATTCTGAAAGGTTGACGTGGTCAAGTGAATCTAAAAATAAAAACATTTTTTTTTCTAAAATAACACAAATGTATAATGTTATTTTGAGTTTTGCTTATATATAAATAACCAAAAAATCAAATTATAACTCAAATCGGTGGAAATGCAGCAAAATTTTGTCCTCATTTAATTTTATTTAAGGGCCCTGTTAACGGCAGTTTAATTTTGTTCAAAAATATGCCTAATGGAACTAGGGCTTAACCATGTAGAATTAAAATTTTTTTTTTTTATTAGTTCATAAAGGAACATTTTGGCCGATTTCAAAAATTGGTGAACCGAAATAAGTTTTAATAATAAAATTTTGTTAAATAAAAAAATAAGCATCAATACATCATATGAATGTGTTACTCTTACCATAAAAAAGAAAAGAAGATTATCACATTAGAAGATGTCATCCCTATTCCAGTTATATAATGTATAACACCAAAATGTTTATTTGAATGGTATTTAAAATTGTATACACCAAAAACTATCTTAAGCTAATACAAATTAATTTAAAAAACTGACATGATCAACAGTAAATTCACTGAATAAATCAAAATATCTATTATGTGGTTAATCAGAGGCATCTGTAAAAATTATATACTTAAGAGCCAATATCACAGAGCTGTATTGTTTCATTTACACTAATTATAGCTTGAAATTTTACCATGAACCGTTATAAAAAATTAATGTAGTGTAGTACCTACCTCTTACCTTGTTTTAAACATTTTCACTGACAATATATACACTATTTTAATAATAATTAAAAATAAGATTGATCAGCTATTAAAATCCATTTTAGCACAGTTTTTAAAAGATAATAGTTTTTTTCAGTAAAAAAAATAATAAAAATGTAATTATTACAGATGCAAGGAACTAGCAGTTGGCGCCCCTCTAAAACCTATGTTAAATAGAAAACAGGAAATATATTTATTTTTCTCCCTACATATTTTATTTAACTGCATAACAAATGATAGCTGAAAAGCATAAAAAAAATTGAAGACAACTTACCACAAGACAATAACCACTGAATTGGAGTTAAAGAACAACTTTTTTCTGTATAAATTATAGCTAAAATTAGGCTTCAACATCATTACGAAAAAAATATATATATTTTAGTCAAACCAAATGCACAACATATTTATGTACTTTGGTAAAGTAAATAAGTTAGTTTTAAAAAGTTAATAATTCTAGTATAAAAAAAAAAAAATGTAATTGATCGAACTTTATACTATTTGGAGCAATTTTTAAACTATTTAAGCTATTGCTCCATTGAACCATTTTTAAAGACATATTTGTTTATAATTATATTTCAGCGATTAGATAAGGAAAACGACTGTTAATTGAACTTTAATTTATTGGTTTTATTGAAAAAATATAATTAATTTACATAAAATTGCATACAAACCTTTAATATGTTGGGATGCGTCGTCGGCATAATCCATCGTCAGAGAGCCGATAAAAAACAATAAACATAATATTATTCCGAAGGTTGTAAAGAGAGCGTGTTAAAATGCGTTTCGTAAATTGCGATCAATGAAAATTACTACACAGGTCTTTGTGCGCGAATATACCTAAAATTAATATGTTGTATTGCTAATAGCTTATTGTTTTTATCGGTTGTGTGTAGTTACTCATGCGTAAGTGACTGCAGGTAACTGCTGATTACAAGGTCTACAAGTGTTCGTTTGATTAGGTTGACAATGAACGAACGAACGGTGATAACAGGTATCACCTTGCCATTTACAGCAGCTGCTGTTGTAATGATCGGTATAGTACCGCTTTTCCTAAATTTTTAACTTTACTTTTTTAACCGAAAATTAAACCTGTAATCTCCTCCTAGACTGTAGCCTTCAAACCTAGAATAGTTTTGGTTTAGCGGAGCGAAACGACGGCGCCGAGCGAGCGAGAGCCCAAAACCCTTAACCCGAACGTGACCTGCCGTCCTTATCAATTTGAATTCCGCCCACTGATAAGAAACTCGTCTCTGGACGTTTGAATTTTTGTAATTTATGCAATTTGGGAGAAAAGGTACCGACTACCGAGCGAGCGAAAGCACAACAACCGATAAACTGCCGTTTGTAAACGTACAAATTCCTCGTCATATACATTGATAATTAGTGTAATTTGGAAAAAGGGGTAATTATAATGATAATTAACCATAAATAATACTATCTACCATATTGTGACCGCGGTTGGTCGGCCATATCAATATGGAATCTAAGTGCAGTGCAGCCAATGGAGCATCTAGGACCGTTGAGGGAGGAAGGAGAATTTCGCACCGTTGTGGCTGGCAAGCGTGACGCTATTATGCGGCCATCGCGTCTCCTTTCTTTTCTCTTTCCATTCAGCGATCTGTCGGCGCTGCGGTAGTATCGCTCTTGTTTTGCCGCTGCCGCCGTTGGAACAACTCAGTATTTACAAAATTTATTTTTCCTTATTCGTCGGGCGTTCTTTGTGTCGTCCGCAGTCGCCGCCGCCGCCCATGCAGTGTTTTACCGTCGTCATGGCGTCCGATTCGCGTTTGTGATATAAACCGATTGTTTTCCGTACACAGCTTGGTATTGTGTTTTTTTTTTTCATCTGTCCAGGCTGTCGCGTGTGCTCAATTTGTTTGTTTCGAGTGTGAAAAGTGTAATAATAATCAGCAGCAGTTACGAGTAATATATTAATAACGAGTGCGAAGGTAAAATATCAATTATAATATGGAAGGTAGTGATGCTGGCGATTCAAAATCCGGGTGCGGTTGTAGCGCCACGGCCGCTTCCGTGAACAACAACAACGACGGGACGGCTGTCGGCGCGACGGCCGCGGCTGCCGCTGCCGCCGCCGCTCAACAACAGCAGCAGCAACAGCACAGTGCTGTTCATCATCACAGGGCCGCCGAGGATCCCCTTGCGGTTCCTTCGATGGACGACGCGTCCGAAATCACCATCACCGTGTCACCCACCACCGGTGGCCAGTTTGACCTGTCCGTTCTGAAGACCGACTCCGTGGAAAGTCTTAAAAAAGTAATTTCCAAACGGTTAAGAGTGCCCAAAGAACGGATATGTCTGCTGTACCGGGAGAGGTAAGATATCGTATTTTTTTAAAATTTAAGATTAGATAAGTTCTTTCTCGAGATAAAACTGGGCCGCTGGGTTTATTCTGGGTGATTTCGGTATGAGAAATTCTCCAATTGTATTCGTCGTTCCCTTATCTATAGGACGATTTATAATTTTGCCTAAAGTGCCAACCGGCGGATGACGCTTCCATCCGATAATGCGAACTCGAAAATTATATATACCTACATTTTTTTTATTCAACATTTGTCTTGAGGGTAGCTGTGGGAGGAGGGTTACAAATGTCTGTACGACTGTAGTATAATCTTAAGAAAATCGTACCGCAGCTGTGCCTATGTTGGTCGGGACGTGATAAAATTAAATTTCGTTTGGTCTGCGGCGGCGGACGGCGGGACGTCCAGGTAGTTGTGTCGCACACGGCCGTGCGACGTTGCCAGTTCGTCGTCCACGCGCGCGTCGGTGTAACAATAAACGGATTTCTACTGCTCGTGTGCCCAATGGTTCCCTTTTACCCTTTACCCGGCACGAGTGCTTGGGTCGGTGAAATTTTCGATGACCGGGCGGTCTCTCCGGGTCTTCCCCCGCCGCCGATAATCTGTTATCTATTATCATAATTTTATGTTATAATATTTTCTTCTCGCTCTCTTAAATCTTATTCTTGGCCGTAATACCCTAGTTTTGTCGGTTTTCAATCTATTCTACGAGCGATCTCATCGGAATAAAAAGAACCCAAACCGTCTCCCGAATATTATTGTATTATTCATTATTGTGTTACGCAGTTCCTGGAAGTGGCTGTTTTTTTTTTGTGTTGCCGCGACGTATTTGGCACAAAACGCCGCCGCCAATATAACCTGTTCCGCGTCTGGTTTCATTCTATTTGGGAAAGATTTCCCCCCCCCCCTATTTTCAGTATAGATCGGGTGATGGTCGTCCAACGACATATTTACGTAATGATATCAGTTCGGCGGTTTTCGTTGTATAAAACGTTGTCTAACAATCAACATAACCCAATTTTAGACAAGGCGGTGTTAGATTTTTTTTCACTGCCGCCGAGATGACGAAATCCACAACGGCTGCTGGCAGTGACCCCAACAGCTGATAGTTTTTGTACATATGAGGGGAGCTATGATGCGGCAGCAGTGGACGCCATTATATTAGGGGTGAATAACCCGCCGCCGCCACCGCACGGTCCCTTCAGACAAGTGTAGAGCAGCCTGCAGCAGCAGCAGCAGCTGCCCGGGGATTCCAGGGATCCTGGACCATTGTGTGATGGCCTAGGAACACGACTCAGCGGCGTGGCACCTGGCAGACACGATGGGTTTCTTTGCAAAAAATAAATACTTGTCTTAACGTCGCGCGCGTGAAAAGTCGCTTTCTCCAATCAAAAAGGAAAACTAGGGGTTCCCAACCTAGGATAATCCATTGTTCGACACGGTACAATGGTTCTCAGTCGGTCAGAACATGGTGTACGACAACGATGACGAATATATTACTATTTAGCATCATTGCACGTTTTATGAATATAATAATACTAATATAATATAGACTACACTCGCAAACTCACTGTATATATAATAATAATTGTTATTATTATTATAATATTAAAAACCAATAATCTCTGTAACGCAACAATGTGCCATGATAGGGATAATGCGATACATCGCGCGCGTTATTGATACATTTTATGTAACACCACTGTGACCGCAATTACTTTATTGTGATAAACCTTGAAATAAAAAAATATGTATATACATATAATATATATTTATACATGTTTGTGTAAAATTTATGACGACGGCTTAGTCTCTGCGACTAGTTTTGAAAAATAAAAATAATAGTAGGTTAACACGAATAATGAATTATACATGTATACAAAAAGGGGGTTTTTGTTTGCTACATCTTTTTGTTGTACGTTTTATGGATCTGTATAAGAGCAGAACGATACCCTCGGTTATTATTATTATTATTATTACTGCTATATTAATAAAGGATCTTTCTTTGTTTTTTTTTTTTTGTATCACGCAGGCAACTAAGAGACGGCTCGTTGGACGACAACCAGTTGATGCAAGGAAGTCGGCTCACCCTATTGCCCAGCGTTGAAACCGGTCTTCTGGTGAGTAGTATTATTAACGCACACATAATGTACAATGTTATATACACACAATATATACATGTAATATATTTATTATTATATTACTGTATATAGTAAATCTTCGTTTTCGACGTCCTGCGCCCCCACCCCTCTGCCCGGTCAGAGAGTGGGCACTTCATACATAAAGACTTGTTGTAGTACGAAAACGTTTGTGCAATACACGCGTGCTTATTGCCACACTACTGCGCGTCTTGATGAGTAACGACGCCGCCGCCGTCGCCATAATATTAAGCGACAATACAAACATCAAATCGATGCCTATAAAATAATGTTATTCGCAAGGACGACTTATCGCATTTCTCGTTTTATTCCTGCATGTTAATAACGTCGTGGAAAGGGAATTGCCGTCTTTCGGACGCGAGACGACGTGTGTTTTGTCGCCGAGGCCTTGTGCTTGATTCCGCCTCCTCCGGTCTTGCGAAAAATAATGTCGAGTTAGCTCCAGGTTATATTTTCCTAGGATTTGCGGTTTCCCCCAAAGAAATCAAAACCAACCGGGGGGTAAGGTTCTTTTTGGACTCGGATTTTATTTTTGCCAATTCTGGTTTCACCTCTGCTGTTTATGTTTTGTCAGTGCGGCGGTCATTCGGCAAAGTTTTGTAACGCCCGTTGTTATGGACACCGTCGTCAGTCATTATTGTTGTGTGTATGTGTGTATTAATAGTAAAAAATAATAATAATAATACATTAGTGCTGCCGCCCCTCTTCGGGCGGCAGCACTCGGCCAATGGCGCAATTAGGTAACGGGGATAATTTTCCTGTAATTAGATGCGTTTGCTGTGGGAGGAAGTCGATAGTAACAATATGTAAACACAATGTCTGCATTTGGAATTATTTATAACGTAGGATAGACGCCCCTCAACTGACGGTTGTTCTCTCGGTGGTTTTGAAATAATGATAATATTATTTTGCTTAACTGTATGTAGTAAGTAGTCTTTTTTGTTTACACGACGTTTCTAACACAACAAATCGATGTCGTCAAGTGCATTGTAGTCAAGCGCGTCGCTCGGGACCCACAACAATAATATACAATGCAAAAAAACATAGCTTCTAGAAAATAAAGGGTTATAAAGGCGCATTGAAAGGAATGCCAAAATAAAATGACGAAGTACGAAATGCATTTTGGCCGTTAGTTAGATAATGTTACCTGATTCTGAAATCCGTTAAAAACACTTTCCCTCGATATTTTTATTGAGGAAAAACTAGGTTTTACGTTGCAACTGGTTTCAATTTCGCAAAACTAGTCGAACCGGGTGAAAAATATTGTGCTAAATTGTAGATTCGTGTTACTGTTTATAAGTTATAACTAAGAGGCCATCTCGAGCCAGACTTTATAATATATTGACTTGTTTTCGTTCTCTATTTATCTACAAGTCTAAATAGGTCTTTTAGTTGTACACAATACACATTTCTCATAGTGTGGTGTACCGCGTGTGTGACATGTTTGGCTTTGATATGATTTTACTACAACCAGAGTTCAGAATACATAGTTCTATTTCGGTGTCTCGAGTTATTATAACACCAACTCGTATCGTAGAAATTTGTTGAATAAAAATATAGAAAAAAAAACCTCCACGGACATTTCGTATTATCTTTGTTACAGAAATAATAGTAATAATATTTGTGTTATTGTTTTCGACTGGCGCGACTACAGCGGCCTTACATTACACATCTCAGTGTATCCCAAACCGTCTCTGGGCGACGTTCTTCTATATAATATAATAGTATGCATCCAACAAGATAATGATACAACCGAGATCTTTTTCGATTGGAATGTCGTCTGTATGCTCTCCTAAAACGACAAAAATTAATGTTAGCATTAAAAAAAACTGACGTTTTTTTATAGTTATAAAAAAATATATCAAAAATATCATATTTTTTTTTTTTTATTGCGAGACGTTTATGATATTTTATATTATATTCGTTTGTTCTATGTAAACGGAAATCACACAGTTTTTCAACCTTGTAAAAAAACGCATTTCTGTTGGTTTAGGAAAACTTGAAAACAATGTGTGTGTTTATTATAGAAAGTCGCTTGTACTATAGTTGAAATGCTCGTGAGAGGGTTTTCGCTGTAGCTATATCGCGATACACAGTGTCTCCTCTGGGTACTTACCGGTTACGACGGTAACGTACGGTTTTGCGATGTGTTTCGTACCGACGCCCGCAGTGGAAACTATGCGGGGACCGTTATGCCTATATGGCTATATGTATTATTTTTTTTCGTGGTACCCTGTGCATGAGTTTGTGTGTAACGGGGCGGCGGCCCGTTATGACTGTAACCGCCTGCCGTTGCCGCCGACGGGTCCCGTTGCCCGGGTAACGGGATCCGGGCAACGGTATACACCGCGTGGCTGTGTCTATCTGTTCGGTGTAGCGCGGACCTAAACGCCGAACGCCAACGGTCAACACCCGTTATGACCCGACCACGACGGCGACACGGGCCCGACCGGGATCCGTTCCGAACCGACGTCGTTTAACGGCATCGGTGCACAACGAGCTCGTCGCGTCCACCGACCGTCGTGTAACTCGCGACGATTGAAAACGTTGTTTGAGATATTATTTTCATGTCCGGTGGCGAAGTTACGCTCACGGGCGTCACAGTTTTTCAGTCGGGGAAAACTTTGATGAGACGATCGCACGTGCGTTGGCAGTAGTCGATAATTACTGTGATTTGTGGTCACGTTTGGCCGGACGCAAATATCTCATCCAATAATAGTACATATTATTTTATCATAAGCTTCAAATTAGGCGTATTTCAAGTCATCGAATTGGACTGATAAAAAGCGTAACGTTCGGCTTATGACATTATTATTATTATTATTATGTGTTCTAATAATTAATGATATCTTATTGAGAGGCTACGGCTATGTTGCCGTAAGATTATACTTTAAAGACGTTCTGTGAAATACACTCGGCGAGTTTAAATTATGAATATTTTTGTAATAGTAAATTTGATTTATTTCTATACGATCTCCAAAAATGTAATTTTATTAACAGTTTAGTAATATCAGCCTGGCTGTATAATCAAACTCAAATTTCGAATTTAAACTACTTTTCAATTGTGCATTTTAATCTCTGTAATCTCTGGTATTAAAAATCTATATGAGTTAATCATTGCTGGGTTATTAAACGCGTTATTTTGCTATCGTGTCATGTTCAAATAAAAAATACCTATATTTAGCTGGTTATTCACAAATTGGTGGCCTGGCGTCTTAATAGACCGCTCATTTTATCCACATTATCAATTATAATGCACTATTATTACTCCTTCATCCTCACAAAAAAAAAACGATACAATTTAAGTGCCAAACATTTATTGAGGTTATCTTATCAACTTTGGTTTTCGTATAGTTTAAAAGCTTGCTTATTAATGTTATATTTCGAAGTTTTTTTGAGATGTTTATTTCAATTATTACATTCTCTTACACAACTTCTTAGTGTTTTGTACATTTTATCTTTTGGCTGTTGTGTAATAGAACAAACAGTGTTGTAGATATTTCCTCTACTGCGGCACCGCTTATCTCCACACTGTCATGATAACGGTTGTATGTGTCATGCGAAGAAAAATAGTCATTGCCAGTGTTTCGAGTTAAACTCATAACACCTAAATAGCACGAAGTATCATTTAACTGTTTATCAGTCCACCAGAATTTACCAGGGCCACCTGTAAATTGTTTTAGTTTCAAATTTCCGTCACCGTTACCGAAATTTAATCCTAATTAACTTTTACTTTGAATCAAACGCTATGAAATTAATTAGTTAGGTAAAAACGGATTTTTAATTGACCTTTGTACATTTTTTTCCCCGAGAAATCCTTGACTAAATATAATTTTTTGGTCAAGCAACATTTCAAACATATTTGAATGATATTCGTTTGTAGCATGAGCCAAATTATGCAGTTTATGATAATCAAATGCGCTTTCTAATTCAATCTTATCACAGACCGACCATTAACCGACCGGTTATCACGTTAACTTTATCGGTTCAACGATTGCACATGTCATGGTTCAATGTTTTATTTATTTATTATTATTATTATTATTTGCTACAATGGAAACTTCTAAGAGATTTGTACACATTTTTATTTGGTACTGTGAGCATAATGATAGCCGTTTCATTTTGGCTTTGACCTTACTGCGCCGTGTACGGTTCTCGAATGTGCTGCGCCGTCTGATTAAATTAAATATCCGTTATTCGGCGTACCTATGTATATATATATATATGTATTTTTTTTTTTTTGGCAATTTTTCGCCGCCTACGGTATACGTTTTATCTCGTTTTGTCCGCCAATTAAATATTATTATACATAGTCCTGCTTACATTACTCGACTGCCGATTTGCTAAAATTTTTAGTAATTCGCAACTCGTAAATAAATAAATAGCAAATACTTTTAATTGAAACAAATGCAAATACCTTCATTTATGTAAAATGTTGCCTTTAATTTAATGTAAAACCTAACCTACTTACACAACCAGCATTGACAGAGTGAGAATTAGTTTATGCAAAATTTATGCTCACATAATTGTGTGTGAGCATCAACAAAATAAAAGCACTAATGACTCTGATATTAACGTTTTGTAGAAAAGAAAAAAAAAGAACACTTTCATAAATAATTTAAATGCATTTTTTCTAGTGTTTCTATTAATTGGGTTCAACGTGAATTCAGTACCTTTCGAGACCGCTTATTCATTAACCGATTGCTCGGTTTTGACGTTGTTGTCCGACGATTCTACTATAATACATTTTGGTTACTTAGCTTTGTTTCGGTGAAAAAATATCAAGAACAAATCGTAGGCGTTGGCTAGTGCTTAGACTTGATGCGCGGCCGCAGCCGTTGTTTCTCTATGGTAAACCTCAACGATTTTTGTTTTGCCTTGTCCAAGCCGAGGCACGCCTATTAACATACTATAGATTTTGCGTCGAGAGAGAAATTGTCTGTGTCGCCATTGGCGACGACTGCTGCTGAGAGATCTATCTGTTATTCAAGTTGCGTGGGGTCTTTACTGGTGTTGCTGTGTTTCTTAGATTTGATTAAATTCCCTCTTGTGTCCCCTCTCTGTCGGGGCAATCGGCATTTAGGTTTAGTAAAGAGTTGGCCGCCGGAAGATGTGGAATGCGTGTGCGGTCGACAGTTATTAGTCTGTGGTATTAATTATTCACACACTTCTAATGGACACTACACACCGTATGACATTGGCGGCCGAGCCTTGACCTAGCACCCTTGGCAAATGTCTGTCGTTTGATTGATATCTTGTTATATACAGTTTATACAACAGATCCACTATTTTTAACTTGCCCAAGTTATCCTGATCTAAATTTATCAAAATGTGTTGACCATTAAATGATTCAAAACGACGTTCAAATTGAAAAATTTCCCGTGGAAATAAAAGAATTAAAGGTTTTTTTTTTTTACTACACATTTTACAAGTCATAATTTTTTTAGACTAATATTAAACTACAGTAAAATCAAGGAAAATTTTGCCATTTTTTTTTAAACTTCTAGTCCTAGTCTTAGATTTGAAAATTAAAATTTAGACAGATCTAATATGTACTCGACTAGAATATTAAGTAAATCAACAAATTAAAATTTTCTTTTAAGTAATAAAACTTGTCTAATTAAATTTTTACATATTTTTAATGCTAATTTGAATAAGTATATATATTTTTTATCTTGACTTATTTTCATTTATTTTGTAGTACTAACAGTTCATTAAAACTTAATTGAGTAACCACGGGCCACTGATGTGTAAGAAACTACAAATTCCTAATGAACCACTAACAAACTTTGTTGAGCGTACGCGTAACTAGGCCAAGTGTCCTTTCTCATAGTATTCCATAGAAAATTATATGAATAATGTCTCAAATATAAACAGATATCTTGGTTATTTTTTATCTAAACACTTATCTTAGTCCGATCTTGATTGCCTGTTAGGATAGATTAGGAAAAATTAAAGCTTGGTTCTCGTAGGTTAGGTTTTATTTGGCAAATTTTTGGTAGATTAGTTTATATTGTTACATTATTTTTATACGATTTTTTCACTTGAACCAAAACGTTGGTCGTGTTTTATTTTCATATGGCGCATCGAACGAAGCCAAACCAAAGACCCAGATATGCACACACATTTTCCAGTTTATTATAATTAAATACAAAATGGTTAAATATAATTAGCCCTTTAGAATACTAGATTTTTTTCACTATTTTAGTAATATCCGTAATTTCGGTGCTAATACAATGTGGAAGTAATACCTATCTTCAGAAAAAAATTCTCTAAAAAACTGTATTTTATTTGATCAATATGTTATGAAAATCGATATTTTGTTCAATAAAAAAGTTGTTTTTAAGTGTCTCTGAAAAGGTCTAATGTACAATTTTTTTATTTCTATTTTCTCGACTTGAATTGAAATGAAATTTGAATGTAGCACTATAGGGCATAGCTTAGCGTCTCTGTTAGCACGGCTAGGTTCTATAATCAATGACTTTCAAAACTTCCAAGGCCTATTATAATTTTAGAACGTGGTCGAATTTTTCTCCGTTCCGCCAGCCAATTTTTTCATCTTTCAATTCTTTACCGGATCAATTGAAACCCCCGTTTTATCAACCGCTATTTTTAATATTATGGTTTTTCTCGCGAGTTAATAACCTCGGGAATTTGTGTTCGTTCGGCGACGATAAGAATATAATGGCGAGTCCTATATTATTGTTATTATTATTATTATAATCCGTTTGTCTATTGTTGTGTGCACAGATACGGATGTGTGATGTCGGGAGAGAGTATCGTTGTCGTTTTATATTATCAAAACAAAACGACCAAGTGTAGAAGTAAATAAAAACGGAGGCGAATACAATGTACGCGTTTCGCATGCATGAAGAGTATAATATTGCTTATATATGTATATATATAAATATGTATTAATAACAATATTATACATTGGCGTTCAAGGTGGACTCGATTTTCGAAAGGATCTCAAAATTGATTGCGCCGAGACCTTGTTTTCGAACCGTAGTGTATGTGTGTACTACCTGTCTAATATGTATAATTATATATATATATGTACATATACTATGTGTGTGTAAAAGTGGATCACTACGTCCGTATGATATTTAATGTTTGTTGCGATGTCGTTTTTTTTATGCGCTCTAGTTACATACGGTACATAAACTCTGAATAACTTCTATCGTAGTTTACTGGAAACTGTTGATTTTTTTGTATGGATATCATTTAGAAAAATTTTGTTCTTTTCTGCGACCATCAAGAAAATATTTCGCAGGGGACATCGACATTGGCAATTCGCTTATAAGGCTTTTTTATTGTTTTTATTATTACTATTTCACCGGCAACGGGATTTCGGTATTTTTGTACACAATTTTTGGGCGGTGTCGTCTTTCAACCGTACATAGAATCGGGCGTCAACCTTATCAGCACCAGCCTTGGTGAAACCACACCCTGTGCCGATAAATTATTTTGTATATAAATATATCCGTCACCGTCATTCGTTATTACATGTTGTACAATGATTATGATTATAATATTAATACTATTTTACCAGGCCTAAGCGCCTTACCGCGTTCTCCGGCATCACAGCCGTTCATAATATAATATAATAATATATTGTGTTGTATTTTGTCCATAGTTGGCGCATATTATATTATAGCTCTTTTTTTTCAGGTTCAGAGACCAGAACAGAGCGTGATGCAAGCGTTGGAAAGCCTAAACGACTCGCAGGTATGCTACAAACTGCTGTTATTATTAATAACATTATAACACATAATATGCACATGCTTATTATTTAAGGCCGTTCAATTACAAACGGTTGTGGTGTGTACGATATTTGTTGCGTAGGCAATGAGGTATTGTTGTAAAAATGTGTTGCAGTCAGAAAGAAGAGGCCTAACGTTAAACCATTTAATATGTTTATGTCATTTGTCGATTTACAACAGTTAAAAATACCATACAATTATTTTTAAAATTCCAGCTTATTCTAGACGTTTTTGAATTACAAAAGGATTGATATCCCCTAAACGTCTGTTCGGACACAATTGTTTTTTCCCTGTGTTGTTTGACGTTTTTTTCAGTAGGGTTTTCCGTATCTTTTCCATATTCAAGTTTTTATGAACTAACGGTGTTTTGTATGGTTTTTTTTTACAGGTAAACGATTTCCTGTCGGGCAAGGCACCCTTGAACCTCACCATGCGATTGGGTGACCATATGATGCTCATCCAACTTCAGCTGTCCACCGTGTCGTCGTCGGGTACGTCAAAGCGACCGCATCCCGGTGCCCCGACTGTGGCCACTGGCACGGCTGCTCTGAACGCGGCGTCCACGGTAGCGCCCGAACCCCCTCAGGCCACAGCCACGGCGGCTGCAGCGTGTTCGGCCGGAAACATCATCGGTACCCCTAGACTGATACCCGGCGTGGACGCCTACCCAATCACTCGCGTCCGCAACGTGTCTGACGACAGCGACGACAATTCGATGGACACCGCGGAGGAGACTTCGACGTCCACCGCGCCGACACCCACACCCCCAATCACCTTAGCGCCGGCGACGCCGACATCGGCGGCGACCGGCGAAACGCCTTCATCATCGCCGTCGACGATTTCGGCGCCAGCCCCGTGTTCGTGCGACGGAAAAACGTCCGTAGGGACGAGCACCTCGACAGCCGCGGGTGACAAACCGCAGCTGGATACGCGGGCGTTGGCCGAGGCTTCTCGAAATCTCACCCAGACCCTGAAACAACTGTCGTCAGAGGTCCTCACTACGAAAAGCGGTTCCAAAGAGGTGAGTACCGGCTTTCATTTTATTTTTATTTTTTCAAAACGTTAGAGTTAGCCGCAACCGATCGGCCCCCATCCCAACATGGGCTCACACGATGATAATAATAGTAATAATAACATTGAGACCGTATTGATTGCGTGGTGGCGTGGGCGGCAACGTCGCCGCAGTCGGCAACGCGGTACTCGGGGACTTGCTGCCGCCGCCGCCCGGGTACTAATTCTGTCCCGGCCGCCGCCGACGTCGTCCCGAGAATTAATATATGATCAATGTGAGGCTGCTGCGGGCCGCCTCGAAGATAGAATAAAAAAAACCAATGAACCAAGTCTAGTAGTTTCGTGTCGTCTCGTCTCGACTCGGTGGCAACGTTGCCGTTCACTTGGCGTTGTTCACACACTAACCCACACCCGCAGTCTTCACGTCGTGAACGTGTGTGCCGCAAACGTGTAGGTCCGCCGTTGCCTGACCTCGATTCCAGGTGAAATACGACCGAGTTTCGTCGTAGCTTCACCAAAATGTATAGTATCAAAACGTTGGAGAAAAAGAGACTATGGATAGATAGTTAAAATGATACGGAGAATAGCGTTGTTTTGCCTTTTGTGGTCTGTCGGCCCTTTTAAAAGAGTATACGAAATAATAATATTGTTTTTGCCGGTTGTTGAGGGGTAAAGTCTGTTTGCTCGTTAACCGGGTGGCTGCGGTGGCAGTTTGTACAGAATCCGGGTATATCCCTGGCCTGGGCGTGGTTGGGCCCGGCACCCGGTGAAATCGCCGACGACGACGTCATATTGATCACGTGGGAGGTCGCTTATCACAACACACAAAAAGGCCTCGAGCCCCCGATTGTATATGCGACCTTTCGTGTGTTGTGTATATTTACTCGATTACGCGTTGCTATATACACAAAAAAAAAAACACTTTAAAATAGGTGTACAGTACGATGCGGGTTTTGTGCCACGCTTTGTTGTTTTGCCCTCGTCCATAGAAAAACCGTGTTTTTTCTAAAATAATTCTTAAAAACTAAATTATGTTCATGTAAGTGAGAGGAGGAACCCCGTAAATGTGCCGTTGTATATAAACCGGACGAATTTGGTATGGCTAGTTTTCTGCCTTCTTTCGGGCGAGAAGAGAGTGGCGGGGGAGCCCTCGCCGTGAAACGGTTAATTTCGCCATCCGCGTTACCGTAAGATCCGCGTTACAATATACGGTTACTCGGCTGCGCGCGCGTTCCAGTCTGCTGGACAACGGTGTCTCTCCCGGTAACTGTGTCGATTCCGCCGCCGCCGCTTCTAAGGCGCGTTAAGAAAGAACGAATACAAAAAAATATGTACACTGAATATATATAACCGCTGCCTCCGAGGCAAATAGAGCGGACCGAACCAGCCGCCGCCGGTTGCAATCGATATAGGGAGGACGGCGGTGGAGGTGGTGGCGGTATGGGCACGGATCCCGAAAGTACTACTTTCCACGGTCGTGCCCCTCCTCCCACCACTGTGTTTGGACTATTACACTGTGGTGGAGCCTCCGCTCGCAATAGGCTTTCGCGAGCCGCTATTATATACCGGCCGTGTTTCACTCGTTTCTATGGCAAAACGCTGTTTTGACCGTTTACCCCGAGTTTGGCTGATTAGACACGATAGAAATCTAAAAAAAAAAAAAACATTTTCTAGACTATGTCTTGGTATCGAAATATTATTATTGTATAGAATACAAATATTGCATGCTATCTAAAACGTGTAGTCGCCCAATTTCACAGAATTCAAACCTAGACACACTAGAAATATAGAAATCGGCCAACGGAGAATGGAAAAACAAAATTTCATATAAATAAGTACTAAAACGTTTATTAATATTCCAGAAAACCTAACATATATAACAGCGTTTCTAAGCCTACCATCTCTGCGGAAGCTGAAATTTCCAATCCAGTTATGTTATCGTATCTAAAACATATTTATATCAGCCTTTAGCTCCCATTTTCAATCGAGTCTTTTTTCCCAAACATTCGCGACAACAAACCAAAACCGTCATTTTTTTTAAAAAATAAGTTCGCACTTTTAGTTAGTCTTTAAACTTTTTTTTGTTTTTTAATCAAATTATGTGATGTACGGCGGACAAGTAAATACCAGTAACTAGTAATATTTTTTAATTTCCGCAATCCTGATACATCCATTATAATATAAAAATATATACCCCATTACTTATCGGTCGGCCCACGCACAAATCCCCCAGGATCGGTTTCAAATCACCTGGAATATCACATCAAAGCGATACGAAAAAGACACTTGCATGGAAATTTATTCACAAAGGGTCGTAAATGGGACCTTACTACCGGTGGGCGTCGCCCACTCGATGTCTCTTGTCGTCATCCCCGCTTGGCGTAATTTAAACTCCTATGCCGACACTCGTAGGTGTACACGACTATTAACAACAATGCCTCGAGATCAGGTTTTAACATTCGGCCCGTGTGTTTTTTAAATTATATGTCTTTTGATTGAGTGAAAAAAACTAATAAGTATTCGTTGTTTGATGACGAGTTAATAATATTCAACAGTGTTTCTTATACGCCTTTGAATTTCGTTCAATCTTAATAGATTAAATAGGATATACGTTCAAACAATATTTAAAATACTTATAGTATTTTTAAATTAGCCCAGTGAGAATAACCAGTCATAAATTCACATTAAGTAGTTCAATCGATATATTCCCAGAAAATATGTTTTATGATTTTTATTTGTAATACACAATATGCCTTTTTATGGAATTTCAATCTTTTCAGAAATTAGGGGGCCTTAATACCCTTTGAATTGTATCATTTTAAATAATTATTTTACCGGTATTTTACAGTCTGTATCGACTGGTCCAGAAATTTTATCAGATTTTCATATAGCTGCTTTTACCTAAATCGTTTTTGGATACAGGAAAAAACGGCAACTGTATTATACAATTAATTCAGGTGAAACTTAATCGTTTTAAAAAATATACTCTTCGCACCATTCTGATTGTGTGCTGTGCTCGTGGCTTTTATCATATGATTTTAAAATTATTTTGTTACAATAAGTTACCAAATGCTCGGTCGGTTGTTTTTGCGGCGTCGTTACAACACTTGATTAAAAAAAACACATTTAGGTCGTCGCGTTACGTTCAACAACAATAATTTAAATGTTTTAATAACGATGATATTATTGTGTGTGATTTATGTCTTAACTGTGCGTTATGTAAAAAAAAAGCCAACAACAACGAAGAGAACATGTAATATTATTATATTATCCACCAACTGTTGGTCCCGTGTAAAATAATGTGTATTAAATTTTTAAAAAAATCATGACATTTCAATAATAATAACAGAACAATTAATACTCTTAAGAATTGTTAGGTGTTTTTCTTGTATTTAATTATGATAGTATTAAAGTATACGTCTGGAGAATTATAGTCCCTGCTTATGTGGGTCACGTGTTTTTTTTGTTTTATTACCATTTCTTTAAATAAGGTTATAAAATTATAATAATAACAATAACAATACTAGTGTCGTATAATGGGCGTCAATTTCTTAATGATTTTTTTTTGGTTGCTTTTATCCAAACTGATAATTTTTACATGATAAAATATTTCCCTATAGACTTTGGTCTTTAAAAATAGCAGTATTGACGGCTCTTCGTGTATTATTAGACATAAAAAAAAGTATGAGCACAAAAAACTTCCATTTGTATCGTAGCACCCGTCGTTTTGTTGTGAACAATTATCCACGGTTTGCTTAAGGTATTTTTTTTGGTTTTATAGTATTTTTGTGGTGTTTTTTTTTTGCCATTGTTATATCAATATCCAGGATATCGTTGAACTACATATTGTTATTATTATCATTATTACCGTGTATTTCTCGCCATACCCCCCCCTCTCCGATGTGTTCAACCTGTATAAAACAGTCCTCGGTTGGACCTGACATTTTGCCGTTATCGTCATCGTTTTTCACGTTGTATAATTACTCATAACCAGCAGATGTTTCTACCAAGCGGTTTTCGCACGTCTACTCAACGTTTTTTACATGTATATGTATGACAAATAGTATAAATATATTATTTTTGTTGTTGTTTTGTGAAGCGCGTTTAACGTTCATAACAAAATGTAAAATCCACATAATTGTAAACATTAGTTCGAAATTGAGCGCGTCAAACCAGTACTGTTTGCAGTCAGTTGAACGTGCTCGCTTTTGAGCATCTTTTTTTAGTCGTGAAAACATGTCTCGGCTAGTGCATTTATCTGAGAAACTAAGCAGTTAGGTTAACGCTAAAGTCCATTTGTTCAATACATTTATTTGAAGCTCAACCTAAACAACGGAGTTTATTGAATGTTTTTTTTTATTTTACATTTTTTCAAACGTTTATAATTTTGCGTCCGACCATTTGTTTTGATTGAAAATCGTCTACACCAAAATTAAAACAAAGTCTCATCAATATTCAGTTATACTTTTACGGTAAAGCTATTCTATTCTTCAAGAAATTTCCTATACGTGATTTGAGGAAGGTGTAATAGTTCCCATCCCACTATTTTTTTTTTTTTTGCATGAAATTTGGTCTCAATCATACTTTCCCAAACTCGTGTATGGTATTTGCAATTGAAAATTAATTTGATAAAAATGCCTCCCTTAGCCAATAAAAATCGTCTCTTCTATAAGGTTGTGACCACCTTATGTGGGATTGTTGCACGGTTGGTTGTCGGCTTGTCCAGCTTTGGCGTTAGGTTTCCCGATCGTCTTAACTTACACGTATGATGATTTGTTATTTTTCTACCCATCACAATTTGAGTTGAGTGTTTTTTTTTTTTCATGTAATTTCTGGTTAGTGGCTTTAGACAGCAGCTGCTATGGCCTAATCGCCGAGACCTTGGTTTTGCACGACTGTTATGCGTTCTATACGCGTGCGGGTTCTATTCTAGTGTTGCACGATAGTAAAACACACTAAGCCGACGTTTTGTTTTGTTTTGTTTTTTTTTACATATACGGTTACGCGATAATTACACTTATGGGCGCGCGTGAGAATCGACCCACAGCGACAGGCGTTGTTGTCGTGTATAAAAAAAAAACACTTTCTATCCGGCAACGACGCTCATCGAACGATTTGATGAACGGTTTTTAATTATAATTATTATATTTTTTTGGGGTCACTGTCGCTAGACTTGTCTCATAACCGTGTGTGTGCGCTTGTTGTCGCTCAAAAACTAGTTTTCGGTAGTCGAGGATAAGGTTAACCGGATGGCGTCCAATAATGGTAGGGTCGTATGGATTATGCGACCGACTGTCGGCTTTTTTAGCAGCAATATTATATATTTTTTTTTTATTACATATTATTACTATTGTGTAGTTTTAACGCCCGTGCACGGCTCGTGTTTTGTGTAAACCCTTCTCCGCAGAGAGGAGGGGAGACAGTGTACGCCCTCATAGGCTGCACAACCGTAGCTGAACTCGCCCGGTACGCAGACACTCGAGAGCTCACAAAATAATAAAAATAAAACAACTTTTGCAATAAAAAAAAAAAAAATCAGTGGTTTAATATGCGATCCCTTTCACCGGTAATTGACCTACTTAAAATACTTCACCTATAAAAATCGGATGAGAAATTTAATAGTTCTACACTACTCTTAACCTAATCAAATGAAAATTTAATCTATTTAAGTACTGGAAGACCAAAGTACACACATTCGTTTTGTACACAAATTAATAATAGAAAATTATACGTAACTGTAATAGCAAGTTATTTATTTTATCTGAGTAACCTGACGCGGTTCTACTCTGTTAATAACTAGTGAATTTAAGACTTGTATTTAGGAATAACAATTCAAAATCGTTTTAAATCTATAGGGAATATCACGCGTTGATATATAAAAAAATATTTCGATTTTCCGTGCTATCTTTGAGCTGAGGCGTTGATATTATTATGATTATATTGAAAAATGAAATCCATTGGTAGGCTATTAATATATACACACACGCTTTGATATTATGTTAAGTACTGAGTATTATATATATACTTTTTTATATCTTCACATAACCGACCGCCTTAATGATAAACGCTTGTGTGTGTGAGCGTTGTCCTCCCGGGCTTGGCTGGTTTTATATTTGTTACCATTGAGGCGGCGACAGTCCGGACAAAATAAATTCTATGTTATTTTTTTTTTCCCGTTTAGAAATAACTCCGGGTGTTGTTCGGTATACAACAGCACACACATAATAATATAACCACACTCACGCGCTTTTCTTTGCCTCCTCCGTTGCCGGCACCGCCTCATCGCGCGCTCTCCCACGTACCGTCGACACGTCCCTTGCACGCCGCGCACTGTCACCGGTCGTGCATACGTGTGTGTGTGTGTGTACGTGTAACTACTGTGGGGGCTCGGAACGTCGGTTGTTGTATGCACGAGGACGACGGGGGTGGATGCCGCCTACACCCACGACCGTCGTCGGGTTTTTTTGTCCGTTTGTAATCGGTATGCACGCCAACATTCGACGAACCACGGTCGTCGTCGTAATAATAATAATAATAACCCGAGCGGTGCCGCGTGTCCCTTCTTTTCTCCCTTGCTTGTGTTCGGGGAAAAACCCGTCCATCGACGCTACTGTCGCCCGAGGCCTCTTCTGTCCGGCCCGAAAGTCTACAGCGCGCGGCGTTGGCGGACGGACGCCTCGATAATCGATTCAGTCGTTGTACTCTCCCGTTTGTGTGTGTGCGTTTTTCGGGAGACCGCACCCGGCCGTGCGTATTGATCTGTGGACGGAGGAGTGTTCTGCACGGCGGCGGCGGTGCAGTATTATATGTAGCCCGGAGGCTGCTGCTGCGGTGTGCGGTCTCCTCCGGCGACGCGCGTTTGAACGGTTGCCAATTTTGAGGCAGGTCGTTGCTTTGCCCACTCTCTCTCCGCGCCCAACATCCCTGCTCGCCGCGGTACGCTTATTCTTATCACAAACGCGGCCCTGTGCGAACACGCGACAAGCGCCCCCTGTGTGTGTTTATTTTCGTTCCGCGTGCGGAACCCCGTTGCATTTCCTATTTGTTTCCAACGACGAAAATGGCCGGTCTATTTTTGTAGATTTGTGTTAATTTTTGTAGATTCAAAATAGGATACCTACTTGACTGGAATAGTTGATACTCTAATTTTAGAAAAATTGTCGCCTTTTAAAGTTCAAACAACATTTTCACATTCATCTTCACGTCATGTTTTTGGTTGAGCTTTGATTAAAACCGAGAAAATATATTTTGGATACCTACCATTGGACCGATTCTTTTGGCATTTAGTCAGCGCTATCAATTTTGGTTGCATATTTTCAGAGTAATCGAAAAAGAAGTAAAAACTATTCGAATTGAAGAAATTTTTTCATGGGAAACATTTTTTTATGATTTTGGTCGGTATTATTGTTTAAGCGCTAAAAAAATTACTGAATTTATTATCAATAACTGGGCAAACGTCGGGGGTACACTTTGGTGTTTATAGACCAGGATAAATTATACACCAATAGTACTTTATAGAGCCAAAATTAAAAAAAAAATATATTGTTTAGGATGTTTTTTATATTAAACATTACTGATCTGTAGTAAAACATCAAACAGTTGAACATCATTAGGCCTTACCACGGAGAGAAGGTGTTTTTCTTTACCAAGCTTTTTTGCTGATAGTTTTTGGGACATAAAAAGAAGAACATTTTTAAAAAATAGTTAACGCTGTAACGTTGCATAAAGTTCATTTTAATAAAAATGTATACATGACTTTATAACTGCAAACAAATTAATCTTGTCTTCGATTTACTGATTTTGATGTTCAATCCTTTTTACCATTTACAGATTCGCATCTAAGCGTTTTTGAGCTTGCCTGACTTTGTATTTGTTTTTAAGTGTTTTTTCCCATACTATTTTGATTAAACTCTTGACCCCCTACAATAACTTGTTTGTAACGCCTTAATTTTATTACATAAATCGATTGACAGTCGTAAAACGCGTTGAAATCGCACAAGTCTACTTTTGCAAAATTAACGACCTACTTAGATGATTTTAATTAGACGGCTCGCGTAATGAATTTAGTTTTTCGGGTCTTATTTCGTCTTCTCGTTAGCGTTACCGGTTTTCTTATTAACCGTAAAATAGCAATTTACCGGTTTGTCGTGATATAAAAAATCAACAACCCGTGTACTAAAGTTGACAATATCTTGGGTGTGCTTAAACCTAAAAAAAAAGTTAAAAACCCATGTTTTTGGGGGTAATGTCAAACATTTGCCGGGCTCAAACGAAAAAACCCAATTTGGTGTACCGATGGTTGGTTGGCGATATGTACTAACGTTCAAATAACTCGGCGGCGGCGGGTTATAAGAAGGCGCGCATTATCTGGAGTTGTGACTAATATTTGCTTTCTTGCCCTTATTTTCAGATGCACATAGGATTCAAACGAAGGCCAGGTGCCATAATCGAGAGCATGCAACACCACGGCAAAGGCGTATACTCCGGCACGTTTTCTGGTAATTATTATTATTATTATTACTATTACTATTATTTTTGCCTTCCGTCGATTTAACGTCGAATCCTTACTAAGGCTTTGCACGCGTTATTAATATACACGATCTCTTCCATGGTTTCTCCTGCAGCCTGGTCTAAGGCTTCTTGGTTGAAAACCTAGAACTACCCATAACCGCTGTTGCCTGCTGCTCGACCACACAATTTGTTGGCCTTTTCTTTTTTTCCCACCACTTCCCGGTCCAAAACGCACGTCTCCTTCTCCTACTTACTGTTGTTTGTTGTTGTTCTTCTTCCTCCTCACAAACGATTTTTTCGCCAAAATACCACATTAGGGGGGCCACATGACCCGGTGGCACATATTATAATAATAATTTACTATCATGGCGTTTGTCGTTTTACAGGTACGTTGAATCCGGCACTGCAAGACCGTTTCGGTCGTCCCAAACGTGATATCAGCACCATCATACACATCCTAAACGATTTGCTGTGCGCCACGCCACAGTACCGAGCGGCCGCCAGATCCGGCACGCCGGCCGTATGCACGGCCACCACTCTTCCACCGACGGCGGCGGCTCAAGCGGCCACCGCGTTTTCGAGCGCCAGCGCAATGTCTGCTCAACCGTCGACTGCGGCCGACCATGCCGGTAAATTGGCGGCCAGAGAACACGACTCTTGGACAAGTTATTTTTTCCAAAGAACCTTTTTTATTCATTTTTAGTTACCGAGACAGCGGTATCGACTCTGGCCCCCCCCCCCCCAAATTATACACCTTAAGACTTGTCAATCTGCAATCGACTTCACTTGAGAAACGGTGAACTTTATATTTGGCCAACAACAAAAAAACCTACTTAAACTGACCGCTGTCTTGTTTTTTTTTTAATGAAAACGTTCTTTATGCGTGTGTCTGTTTTTGTTATTTAGTTTTAATTATTTTTATCTTTTCTGCAGAGAACGACTCCAAGGAAAATGCGGCTACCCGCGGTAAAATGGAACGTCTGCGTCTGATCATGGAAGAGAAACGCGAGAGGCGTAGGGCTGGTCGTAGTGTACCCTACGACAAAACCAAAGCCGGAACACAGTGGTCGGCTAAATCGGAGACCCAGAGCGTAGGGCCACAAGATCCCACCGTTGATCCGACATTACCTCCCGAACAAGTCGTCGTGTGAAATACTGCCAGTGCGGAGACAACATTTAAAATATGTGATATAAAAATAAATATAAACCCCACCATGTTTTTTTTTTTTTATATGTATTTATTTAAATATATATTTATCAACAAAATAATATGTGGTCAGTTACACTATAGGGTGCAATATTTTTTATTGTCTAAGTATATATTATATTATAAAAAATGACTTCATCAATATGGCACCAAAAAAAAAAACGAAAACAAACATATTATACATAGAAAATATATATTTAATCCTTCCCTCAAATTATTACATTTAATAGTAACAACTTTTTTTTTGTAAACTGATTTTTAGCTTTAGACAATTTTCAGACCTATCGTCCATAATTTAATTTAAAAACAGAAATATTGTAAAGTTATTGTATATTAGGATGTTTATATTTATAAATATCTAAATTGTTTAAGTGATTTTTATTTTCCTGGGAGTTTAATGTTGGATTATTTTCAAACAATTGCGATTTATTACCTCAATTTTTCTTGTATGTAAACAAAATGCGTAGACTTTTTTCTTAGAGATTATTACAAATAGATATCATAAGTTTGTCTTGTCAAATTTCAAATGACGAAAAATATGTGTATATATATTTATATATATGTATTAATTATTATAAATCACGCGTGCTGGTTAAAAATTAGTATTCGTATAGTTAATGGAAAATAAAATTTATAAAAAAAAAGTAATAATAATAATTAATTATATGCTTAAAGATCGATTATTTATTTAGGGTAATTTTTGATGTACGAGAAGAGTAATTATTATACTAAGTTTTGTTTGAACATTAGGGCTTTTTTATTTCACATCTGCATCGTAAAACGTATTATATTTTTAAAATAAAACTGTTTCTCGTTAATTTGTGTATATTAAAAATCAATCGACTGGCCTTTCCTTATAATTTAATTGTAATGTTTTTTTTTTTTATTTTAAATTTATTTGATAAAAATTTCCTCTGTGCTTTTTACCTTTTTTAAAATGATGCATTGCGTACACAATGTATTTATGTACAAATAACTTTAATAATAATAATAATAAGTTCATCGAAATATGAACAGACGTTGTTTTTTTTTTTTTTTTTTTATTGGGCATTTTTGTTATTAACTTTAAGGTTGAGACCGTGAATTATTAAATTGGCGTTTTCCAGTGTGCCCGTGACCCGATTGCTTAGGACAAACTATAATACGAAAAATCAATTGTAGCCGTAATTATCGAGTCTTACGTTATCTATCCTCTTTTTTTTTTTTTTTTATAAATTTTTTTTTAAATTAGTTTATTGATTATCGTCGATCTTTACACGATTTTTTTATGAAAAAAAATATATACATTATTCAATTGAAAAACGTGTATTACTTTTGTGTGTTTTAAGTTGTATTTATTGTAATGCCCGAAAATAACCTTCGAACATTATTGTGTACGAATCCCTAACTATTTGTATACAAAAAGTAAATGTTATTGTTAGTAGGCTTATTATTGTCTATAGACGGTTTTAGCCGTTATGACTTATGTGTAAACAATGTACAAAATGATACACCAAATGGGGTTTGTATGTGAAATTAGTGTCAAATAAAAAATTATATATCGATAAAGTATGTGTATTATAATAATCAATGCAATACCAATAATAAAATATGTGAACGCGCTAGGATTATGTAAATACGTAATATATTTACTTTTCTTGTGAAGAACATTAAAATAATAGTTTATACTAATTGTTTTTTTTTTAAGATACTCATTTGTACAGCTACTATTTGTTTTTAAATAAAAACTATTTCATTTAATTTGCCGACAAACTACAATAATGTTTTATTCTTGATGTTAAGATATCGTTGATGAATAAATCAAGTATTTAGCGTGATCAAACTGTAGGTACAAAAAATTAATTATGACAACGCCTTACTGCTAATAATAAATTTGACTACATATAATTTAAAATCGCACGATTCTACTGAAAATATGAGAATAGTTAAATAAAAAGAAACGTGTATCATCGACCTTCGTACTTGCTTTAGCAATTATTCTGGTATCATTGTAAATTATCTTTTGTCTTTTTCAATAGCACTCGTCTTCTTACTTTTCTTTCCGGTTTAAGAAGTTTTACTATTATCAATTTGTAAAAAAGTAACGACAAAGGTTGCCTGTGCGTTGCAAAAATATGACGTGGTAATGCAAAATTTGTACTTTGTTCTTTGCGCGTTGCAAATTAATATTTTTATCAAATTGTTTTAATAAATAATTTAAACAATATTTTTATATTGTTTGTTGAACAGAGAATTACACGAAATATATTAAAAAGTTGATACAATGCGATTAAAATGTCGTTTGTGTTGTTCGAATTCCATTGAAATATATATATATATATATTTATTCACAACACTTCTTAGGTGTGTTTTCATATTTTAAATGCACATAATTTAAAAAAAACTATTATCGACAATTCGGTACTACTATTTCCTGTCTTTACCTGCAACGAACAAATGTTTCAGTTCTTTTGTTGTTCAAATTGGATTTACCTGATATAGTAAAAACAAAAAAAAAGAATATATATATATATATATATATAGTATTGCCTATATTAATCAAGTTAATTTAAGGGACAATATTTTAATTAAAAAAAAAACCTATAGCATTGCATCGAAGCTAAATTAATATTTTGCACTCATTATAAATATTATATTACTAACAATGCGTAATCTCCGTGTATGGCAGAGATTCGCATTGATTTGGATATTTATCACAAGTCATAATATATATTATATTACCTAACAATAAGTAACATAATATACATATATATATACCTTTATTCAACAAAGCCATTGGGATGGAAACGTTACATGTGTACACATTTTCTACATTGTTCAGTGTTCATTCGGTTCGCTGCATATTTTCTGGAGTACATCATTTTCATAATTCACGGAATTATTTGAAATGTTTTTTTGTTTCTGTTAACGATACGATTTGCGTGGACGACTCATCAAATTTATCGCATTGACTTTAAATTAGTCATATCGCTACCCAGAGTTTCTCGTTCATTATTTTTAAAGTTTTGGGTTAAAAAAAAAAAAAAAGCGTTCTCTATTACACTAAAACCACTCGGTCATACTTACTCGAATATGAAATGTATCATTATATCAATTTATTTTTTTTATAACGATTCATGTATACTATTTTTAACAAAATCAAAAATAGGTTGTTTCTTATACATGTTATTCTATCCGAAAATTAGCATCTTCTATACAATTGTCACTCTAATGTAAACTATGCTGGTCGATAATTAACATCTCGTGTTGTAGACAAAACAAATATATTAGTGATCACGACCGCAAGAAACAATTGATCTAAATTGATCTACTAAACCATAAAAATAGATTTATAGAATTTTTACTTTTTTTTTCAATTTAAATAATACAAACCGCGATACACATATTTTTCTCTAGTGTCTGTTCATCGAAACGATTAAAACTGAATATATATAATATTATGTTGTCACCTCGTGTGTCTTAAGAGGTATAATTTTCGTGACGATAAATTATAAGGAAAGAGAAAATGCATTAATAACCGTGTACCGTGTATGTTCTGATATGTGACACACGACCGTAGGTATGCTTTATATTGGAATTACAAAATATTATTATACCATTAGACTTGTAGCGTTTGATTTCCGTTCAACTTTCACAATAAACAAAATAAAATAGTTATTCACGGTATGTCAAAAAAAGCCCCTCCATTTGATGTTTAACAGTTAGTAATGTGTTATGAGATTCCTAACCGCAGCACAATAATATGTATTTGTGTATGGGTACTACACAGAATACTTTTTTTTGTCACCCGGTCCGTGACTATAATGGAATGTTAAGGTCAAATGCGTGGTCGGTATTATTGTGTTTATTAAATATTATATTTTTCTTCGTAATTTTAATACATTTAGATTTGTTTGAGGGGAAATTGGTAGGTATATGTAACGACAAACGATTACAATTTCAACTCGGTACTGCGAAGCTGATAATTATCTTTTTACATAATATTTTAAAAACTCGAGCCTAACAGCCTAAGAGTTTTATGTAATTTTCGGATGTATCGTTTGCGTCACAGCGACTGCACAATATATATGTATATGTGTACACAATATATATATATGTATTGTATATATGTGTGTATACTGAACAATGTGGATTCTTCCAAAAGGGGTGCGGTCCCTCTAGGTTGACACCGAAATTGAAGCTGAGTCATCTGCGCTACCCTATTTTCTTGCATTCATACGGACACTGCAACGAGACCCTTATTCTTCGGCCGAACCATTTACACAGTACCTACCGTGTGCCGGATGTCGATTATATAGAATTTTAAAAATCCCACACGATAAAAGGTTCGTGTTTTTTTTTTCTATTTCGCTTGACTCGAATAAAACGTAAAAAAGTCTAAACTTTAATTTTGCTTTCGGTGAATTCGGAAGGTACTACTAAAAATCGATTAGCCAACATCGTTTAAGGAGTAAGCTCTGTACAAATCTTAAATTAAAAAAAAAATATATATATATAAGTTATCTGTGATTTAGATCTGCAAATCAAACCAGTTAAACAGTTAACCCTGTCTGGACCAGCATCATCACAAATTTACCAGTGTAGCTTTGTAATTTGTTACACAACTGTACTTGAACAACCGCATAGGTACTCCAGGCATTTATTTTTTCAATATCCTTAAGGCTAAGAATAGTATTGTTTTCCTTAAAATATTTCATCCACCTCTAATCAGAGCTTAGGTGCGGCGTCACTATTGCAAGTTGCAACAACGATCAGCTTTCAGCAGCTGAACTCAAAACTCTTTACGTCTATCGAGTACTAGGGTACTAGGTAAGGTTTGCCTACATCGCCACGTACATATTTCATATATTTTATGACAGTAATAACTTAATGTACATAAGACAGCCATAGTTTAGAGGTGTCTCCCCCGCCCGTCCGTCTATTGGATATTTCTTGGTTTTCCAGTCGGGCCGGAAAAACTTATTTGATTTTCCTTGACAAACGTGGAAATAACACTTAATTGTTTACATACAAATTACAATGTAATTCCTCGAGTGCTACGGGCCTCTTCGGCGACTTTATTATTATTATAACCACACTCACACACATTGTACTCGAGCGTAACCTTGGCTTCACATATTTTGTGGTCAACGTGTGCATTGAGTTTTCACTCAAATAATATAATGTATGTGCGTTTGCATACCTCCGCAATGGTAATTCATATATTTGTAATGTAACTATCTGTCCGGCGATTGTGTACTTTCGTGACACGAGTTCAATAGCGTTCAAACGACTAAATCGTTTTTAACGATCGATTTCATAAAAATTCTTCGTTTACTGAACCCCGGCTACGTGTATCTGATTTTTTATTAAAGGAATCCACGTTGGAATTCTGTACTTCGCGCCGGCGTTCAAGTCCATTAATAAAATACCTCACGGAATTCTACTGGACGATGATAATAATAATGTAACACTATTAATAAGGTTCTGGTCGTGGCACACACGGCGTAGTATAATTCCACACAAGTTTATGGTTTACAATAATTTATAATAATAATATGTAATATGTACTGTATGATGATCCTATAGAGAGATCCAACCCAAGTGTCCGCGGCGGTTTAGTGTCTCCGTTGGAAATCTATAAAAAATCATATTATGTACCTACCTAAGCATGTTTACCCGTCGTTAATTTTATTGTATTTATTTTTGTATACAATTTTTTAAGTGCATCGCATATGTCGTATAACGCGCGTCCCCGAAAGAATTTATCGTCCATTCCAAACCGTATACTATTACTATTGAAATATAAGCATACATAATGTTATACAAAATATAATGTATTATGCATGAAAATCCGTTTGATTACCGACCCCCTCCCTGTAAGATCATTGACTTGACGCAGGTATTGCGATCATAAATGCTGGAGTCGCATCAACGTACATTTTTTACTTGTTAAAAAAAAATTCAAAATAATTATTGGTGCCACAAACGTCCCAAATAGTAGCCACAAATGAAACAAGCTCATTAAAATTTCATTAAACCGTTTTTCCGTTTTTTTTAACTTTAATTCTGACTTAGTAAATGTTATTTCTAACACGGTCCTTGTTTTGAATTACACTTGGACTTCAAAATAAAGTTCAACATACAGCATTATATGTAATAGACACATTGGTTGAAATATCCGAAAACGTTGCAATATAACGATGAAAATTACAAAATGTTTTAATTTAACTTGTATTGCTTAGTAATGGACGAACTTACTAAAGGCGTACAGGTGAGACAACTTCATAACAATTGTTGTTGTTGAATATTGTAGTGCTTTTGAACGGCGGTATACAGAAGTGTAAGTAGTTTAATAATAGTACAGGGACGGGGTAAGGGTTTGGAGAAAAACGATATGAGGAGAAGTACAGAGAAAAGTTGCTATGCTTGAACAGTGAGTAATAACTACTAAATAAACCGGGAATTAAATTTAGGAATAATAATGATATAAAGCCGGCGTGGAGTACATAGACTTGTACAGTACCAAGAAGTAGAGGCATTTTGGCCCAAAAGCTGGACATTGTAACAACAGGTTACAAAGTTAAAAGTAACTTTTGTTGGTCACTTCTGACATGTATTACTTTTAGAAATAAAATATCATTTAGCTTAAGTTATTTTTCTAAACAACAAAGTTATTCTGAAATGTTAATTCTTATCACAAACAAATATAGACCGAACATTTTTAATCTTTGTAATTGAAAAAAAAATGCTTATTTTTAAAACTTAATGAAAAAGTATTCTACTATGACTAGGCTTTAAAATTTGAACTGAATTAACATGCATTTTCAGTGTGTAATAGATAATAATTAGATATAACAGCTATACCATGTTTTGACATTACATTTCGAGGTCAAATCAATCAGAAACGTTTACCGCTATGAGATGGGCTTAAATAAAAAACAAAAAGTGAATATGCATTACACACATCAGCGCCCAAAGTCGTTATATAAGTCTAGGTACACAATAATTTATTAAGTTATCTAATCAATAACAACAAATGACAAAGTGCTTATAGTTCATCATACAAATACTGTTCATTAGAAATTATTTAATAATTTAATACAAATTGAGTTCAGTGTTAAACTAAAGTGTGTTGTATACCTCTTATTTATTATATTTTACACAGCATTCATTTTAAAAAATGTTTGTACAACTACACGCGGATTTTTAATTCATATAATTTTAAAGTTAGTTCTTAAAAATTACATAATATTCGGTTCAAGCCTATAATATTAAAACAGCATAATTAATCTAAATTTGTATTCACTTCGATTTAATAAAAATGAGTTCAAATTGTTTTGATTATTATAATTAATTTGTTATTGTACTACATTTTACGGCGTACGCAAATAGGAAACAATAAATTATAATATTCAATGCGACCCGTGCATTCCTATACTGTTAACAATACTTATGACTTCAACAATTGTGTGTGGTTTGTAATAGTTTCACGATGACCGTTGAAAATTGCAATTATATTGTTATCCCTAACTCAGAACTGCATAGTGTTGCATATTTTATTAAAATTGTTATTTGTTTTTTTCTTCAAATTAAACTTGCAGTTTTATTTGGTATAATTGATTAATAGATTACCACCATGAATTCATAGATATTCATGGTGGTATAACACTATATAACACTGAACACAGTACAATTTTAATACTGTAGATAGTAACATAAGAAGCCAATATGTCTTTCACAATGTTTTAATATTCGAGACTTCTTAATGCCATAAAACTGCAGACGGACGAGTTCGATCATGTTGGGAATATTAAGTCAAAAGTTAAATTATAAAGTCTAAAGTTCAGACGATCAAAAAGTGTAGACATCACGAACATCCACCCAAGTCTTAGCTCAGACCTTACAACTGTCTGATTACCTTTTCTTTCAGTCGCTAACAGCTAAACCTGTGTTTCTATCACGTTATCTCATAAGATATGAGCAATAGTGAAATAACTGCTATTTTTAATGAAATTAAGTAGCCGATTAAAAAAATCAGCACATTGGGGTTGGCAGTTAAGGCATAGGGGTCGTAACACACGTATTTCAAGACTGTGCGCTATGTCGAATCCACAATTATTGAAGGGATGAAGAACATAAGAGATTTGAACGACTAATTATCTATAATTTTATCGGCTAGTTAAAATATTATCGCGCGTGTTTAACCTTTAATTGACCATTTAAAAAACAAATTTCATTCGTACCCTTTTGACTGTCAACACTTCAATAGTGTTGAGACCGACTTCCGAGTCATTGGCCCCGAAACGTACAAAAAAAAAAAAAAACGAAAAACGCAAAGCGTTTTTAAGACGTGTAAAAAGATGTATAATAATATAATGTAATATTATTATTTCAAGAGCGCGTAGACGAGCGGATAGGAAATAGACGACCCGGAACCGATCACGTCTCGCGAATACCTCGCGGGCGATTTACCGGAAACCTAACCGAGAAAAAAAAATTAGAAAAAAGCCAAAACAAAATAACCGAATGCCCGAAGATGTTGCACCACTCGAGACATCGGCATTCTTCGCGGCCGATTGTTTTTTCAATTTTATCTTTTACTTTTTTCGCGCGTAGGCGACCACGATGACCGTGTCCTCAAGCACACACACACACACAAGCCGGGTTTTTTTTGCATATGCGGCGCCGGGGAAGGGGACGAAACCGGGATAGGGGCACCGGGAGAAACGCACGCCGCGCGCGCGGTCGGTCGCGTGACCTCGTCGCGGCCGCCGCGTTGGCGTGTTTGCCGGCAGGCGGCGCGCCGGTCGGCCGGGCCGCGCGCCGCGTCGGGGTCCGCACGGGGCCGGCAGCGGCCGTCTACTACTGCGTTACCACCACCGCCGCCTCGCGTGTACCGTGTGCCGTGCCTGTGCTGCCGGGCGAAAACGCGTTTTTAAAAAACTCAATTCCGATCATTCCTGACATTCCGATCCGCGCTGTCGAAACCTCGGCACACACAACAACACACACACAGCCGAGAGCGCACACAAACGGTTGCCGTTGCCATCATCGCACGTCTCTCAGTGACGATCCCCGGCCCGCGCGGGACACAGCTATACCCAGAAACAGTACCGAGGACACCCGCCAAGGATACAGTGAAGAGAGGACATACGAGGTGGTTTTTTTTTTGATTTTGGATACCTACCCAGGCTTCCCGGGACGACGACATGGACGGCGAATCGCCACTGCAAGTGCTGTCGAGGGCGGCCACCATGCTGCACGGGGAGGAAAAAGCCGCCGAGTCCCAGTACGCCGCCGCAGCCAGTGAGTAGTGCAAAAAACTTTTGAGTCCTTTGTCGACTTACAGTATTATGTATAAAATATAATGTTATAGTTGCAATATCGTGTGTAACACTCGTCGTCGTCGTCGTTCTTATCCGGGATATAATAATATGTATATCACTCTCTCTTACTCTTTCCCCCTTTACCCCCACGAACCCTCTAGCCAGTCTACCGCCGCCACCGGCTTCGGTCGATTTCTCCCGCCTGCGCTGTCGACCGCTTCTAGCTCGCCCCCTTCACCGCGTTTCTCCACATTCCCCGCACAAACTTTTCTCCTTCTCACCCCTTTGCACCCTCATGTTCGCACCACGACATACTGTCACGATACACTATCCCGTACACGAATGTTATCGTGGGTTTTGTTTAACGTTTTCACCGACTCCGGCACCGAGCACACCACGGTCGACGGTAATTAGAAATCCGTTTCGCACAGGTACCTACGCGTGCGGCCACCGTACCGGAATGTTAAAACGTTTTGTTTTTCACTCGGCCGCCCGGAGAATCGGTAGCACCGCTTTCTTTGTCGTTGTCCAACCCGGTCTAGACCAGCATAGAATTGACTAGAAACCATTGAGAACATCATCATGAGCGGTTCGGTCCTTAGGTCAGGAGGAAACTATTTTCAAGTATATCCCCCTAGTTACAAGTCGATTACAGGTTCAGAAAAAACAAATCACGTTCATTACATTTGTCGACTCGAGGTGAGGGTCTCCTTGAAACGAATGGCTCTCCTTGTCACCACCCCCACCCCTCATTAATCCTACGTCCACCGCCCAAACACGGTAAAAGTAAATTTGAATTCATTAGTCCTTACGGTCAGAACCATATTGGGAGGAAGTACACACGGGCTGATTTCCGGGGATAACAAAACGTTGTAACTCAAATGAAACCCCCTATTATACTTTTCACAAAGCTCATAAGCTTGGGATTGAAGTAATCACTTTAAGTTTATTATTTCGAGAACATTTACTTTAAGAGGATTTATTCAAAAGGTTTAAGTCAACATTCTAAATCCTCTTTGAAGTTTCCAAACACTCGAGGGCCACCACAGGAAATGACTATTGGTCAACCCTGTCTTTGAACACTGTAGACAACATTTCATACAAATGTTTTTAAATATAATGTTCTAACTGGACACAGATTTAATGTAGCAAATTTGACAATGCCACCTCTATTAAGTCTTAGAGTTGTAAAACAACAGTTATATACAAAAAAACAAGCGGTTGAAAAAATTGCATTTTTGATTCAGTTATACTAAAGCCGAATGGTTGTTTTTGTTTTGATTTAACCATTTGTCTGCTATACTATGAGTAGAATATACTGAGTATATGTTACTACAATACATATTTAGCAAAAAACTGCTGTGAATCTTATCATGCCATATGCATATGTAAAAAAACAAACTCAATTTGGAACATAGCTATTTGTTAATCGAAATGTTCTACTTGTAAGTTAAAGCATCAAGAGACCAACTGTATGTCCACCAGACACTAGTGGAGTAGCTAGTGCTAATAATTTTTTGAGTGGAGATTTATTTTTAGGTCTCGAAAAACCGAAACTACTGTACTTGTAGCTTCTTTCGCATTAAATGATTAAACCGGTTTAATATTACTGTCATGTTGGAGTTATTTGAAACGTTAGGGTAGCCATAAATCATTACTACAGATGATTAATGGCAAACTCTTATGAATCTCGTCCTGTCTATTGTCAATTGTCATCAAAATATATGTATTCAAAAACACTTAAACAATGAGACTTGCACTCAACAAACGAATGGGAAAATAGCAGTAGGTGAGCCTATGCCCACAGATAATTTTTTAAACACGCCACTGTGTTTAATATCCCTTTTTTAAGGATTTTACTAAGCAGACTTATACATAAAAACCAGCGCACATGTGGGAAAATATAGTTTTTGACCACTTCTATTGAACATTGCGTTAAAACGATTAAAAAACAGTATTATTTATTAATATTTTCTACAATGTAACGGCGAAAACTTATTTAGATTCAAAAAATGCGTTCCACGCTAATAATATGATGTACATACGTGCTAGCGTGTCTATAGGAAGTGTTAAACGACATACTATCTACTATTAGGTCGATTTCTATTTCACAAGTATATAATTTGTGCTGTGTAAAATCACTGTTTGGTCACAAGTTGAAATTCCGCAAGCATTTTGACAACTTGGACTTTCTCGCTGAGACAATAACATAGGTTTCTTCGTCAAGACTCAATCCATGTCCTATCACCTAGGTTGATTTCTCTAATATTAGTAATAATTACTTTTTTTTTTTGTATACCCCGAGTATAATAGTAAAAATAAATGCTAAATAGTTTTTTTTATAAATACATTTAAAAATCTATAAATTTTAGATGTTATCAAAGAAAAATTGTTGACTAAATGAATAATTATACTCAATCTCAAAAAACGCGGTATAATTTATTCAGAGGCCGGTCGTAACTAATTTTATTCTAATTCTAACACACATAAAAAACTACTTGAGAATCAAGGATAGACAATGTATAAAAATACAAATATATTATACCTATACCTAAGTACAGAATAAAGAAAAGCATTTTTTTTTAATCTTAGGGCTACAACTGTAAGAAAAACAGGAATATTTCAAAATTAGTCTAGCAAATTCTTGTAAAGTAGGCTGAGTAAGTCCAGCGATATTCTAAAGTCGTCGAATACAAGTAATTAAATATTTGTATTCAAAGTATTCAGAATACTCGAGTACACCGATTCTATGTGAGTTTTGGCATTGGTTTAAAATAAAATAATCGGTTAGGTTAGGTTAGGTTTTTATTTGCGTCGTCCAAGACAAAAATAGTGTTGTCATAAAATACAATGTGGGTTCATTAACCGACAAATTAACCGTTTACTTGTTCAGGTCGATTATTCACAATTTTTTCCAGTTGACAATACGGATAATATTATCATTCTCTGACCCGCAGTAGTCTGTAGACTGTAGGCCAGCTGCAGACACTAGAGTGTCTAGCGTGTCCATGGATGGATTTACCCCAGTGTTTTTTTATTTATTTAAAGAATTCAGCATATTTAAAAAAAAAATTGTATTTAAATTTCATCCGAAAAACATTTACTCAGTGCATACGCCCGACGATGCGTCGAAACGATTTTACACCTTTTGTGTGTGTTTAAATTTACATAAACGACCGTATATTTATATATATATATTTTTCTAAAACTGTACGACACCTGTTGGTCACAAAGCGTTTTTTTTTGGGGACAAAAACTAAACGCGCGATTAAATAAAACTACCACAGCCGGTAAAATATCACTGGTTATTGCTTAATATCATCATTATGTTATTATGTCGATAATGATTGTTAATATTTTCAGTATAATTGTATTCGATTTGGTAACAACCGACCGTGTCCGCTGAATATTAAAGATGAAGCGAAATAGTTTTGTTAATTTCAAAGCCATTAGAGATATTTCAAATACTTGGCGTGTCTCCATTTATGATTTTTTTTCTTAGAGTATTCCAACGAAAACAAAAACAATCATTATTTACTCTCATTCCTTCTCTAACTCTCTCTGTCTCTCTTTTCCCACTTTGTAGTCAACGTTAAAAACGACAATGTTTTCTACATCATTTCATTTATTCTGCAAACGCTTGTTTTTCATCAACAATCGCGCTAACGAAATATAACCAAACATGCAAAAGACCTATTTAATAACTATTGCAAATAACATTAATATATAATATACATATTGTGAATAGTGAAAATCCACCAAAGTCAAATTATTATAATATGGTAAACTGTTACTTTTGAGGTGCCCAAAGATACTATGTATATTATACAGGTTCCTAGACGGTCAACAGTTTTCAAGTTACCGAAATTCCTTCCAACAATAATTACAAGCTCTAAAATTGAGTATTTTTTCCCTTTAAGTTCAACATTTTTTTTTTTTATAAAAACGACACTTATAACGAAAATACACCTAATTTTGTAATTATTTTTATTTGACGTTTTATCCAAAGGTATCCAAGGTGTTGTATAGCTCAATGCTACATATATTATGAATACAATAGTATATACAAATAATTATATTTAATTATGTTCGTTTACAAGGCTGGCAAGTTTACGATTTATAGTAATTAACTAACTCGAGTTAAACTAAAATTTAATTTTTAACTCGTGTCACGATAAAATATGATACGATAGTATCATAAGTAATAATAATGTTTTTTTTTGTTTTCGTTAAAAAGAAGTACGAGTACTTTTTATGAAAAATCTCAAAACAATAATACAGCGAAAGTTTAAGCGTTTTTTGTATAATAATAGCCATTTACCCGTTGTTATAGGATATTTCATGTTAGTACATAAACTGAGTAAAATACTGTATCTAAATGCTGCTTTTCAGTTTTGTTATTAATTCTTTGTATTATGATTCTACAGGAAATATTTAGTGTGTTTCTCAGTGAAGAGCAAAGCCCTTAAATCAGTTTTTTTTTTAATTCTGTAATTACTGGGTACCTGTATAAAATTTGGTTAGGTTTCAGAAGATTTTATTTAGTTTTTTTTTTTAGTGGAGACAAAGTGAGATTGGCCCTTTTAGACCCAAGCCACAGAATTATTTCCTACTTTTTTCCAGCCACTATTATTTTATTTACCCTTGACTTGTTGCCCATTTTGGTATTTGTGCCCTTTAGACCGGAGGTCTATCGATTAGCTATTGTCAACTAGGTAATGCTGAAAATACAGAATTTAATATAATTATGATATTTATTGTTCGCGTTTATAGTTTTAACGGTTTTTATTTTATCGACCCGGAGATAATGTAAAAATAATTGTGTTTATTATAATATTATTATACTTTATTTTTTTATATACCTAATATCATGTAGAAGATTATAATAACGAATTATACATACTTAAACGCGCTATCTTCTCCTTTTTTGCACGCGATATTAAGTATACAAATAATAATTATTCGGCACAACGATTGTGT